CACTCAGGTGCCCCTCCAAGAACTACTTTTTACCCTGGACATTATCACCCCCATTGAGAATGCATTTATTAAGTGTAATGACATGAGGTGAGAATCCATGAGGGCCAAATACAGGATTTCTGACTGGTATATGTTAGAAGTACAAGTAAGCATCATAAAATCATAGACTAAAAGAAATCTGTGTACAAAAATATAAAGAACTATCTCTTCATCCATTCTTTTACTTATTTTCTAATTTTTTATGTGTTAGGCCCTCTAATAAACACTGAGGATACAATAATGAACAAAAATATACATGTTCCTTACCCTCATAGTACTTAAAATCCAGTGAGTGAGACAAATATTGATCAATACTCACACAAATAAATGTAAGACAACAACCTCAGTAAGTGCCTCAAAAGAGATACTTGGTGTTATAGGGAAGCCAGCAGGAGTTCCCTGTGAAAGTAATGATAAAGCTGAGGTTGGAAGGCGAAAAAGCTTTAACTAGGCAAAGGAGGAAGGAGATCTTTCAATGGAGACAAGATAGATTGTGCAAAGACCTGTGCAGAGAGAGAGTATGGCACTCACAAGAAACCAAAAGACATGAATGGCTGGGACACAGTGATCCAGGTGGAAAGTGATGCAAAATGAAACTAGCCCAAAGTTTCTTGAACTTGGCACTATTGACATTTTGCGTTTGATAATTCTTTTGTTGTGGGAGGCTGTCCCAACCATTACAGGATATTTAGCAGCGTTCCTGGCCTTTACCCCCTAGATGCCAGTAGCACCTACCTCCAAGTTGTGACAACCAAAAATGTCTCCAGACATGGCCAAATGTCCACTGGGGAGCAAAATCACATTTGGTTGAGAACCAATGGAGAGAGACAGGCAGGGGCCAGACTGTGTAGGCCCTGTTAAGGACTTTTGCTTTATTCTGTAAGTGACGGGATGCCTTTCAGGAATATTAAAGTGGAGGAAACAAGACAATCAAAACTGCATTTCTTTGTTTTTAATAATTTTTTTAATGTTTATTTATCTTTGAGAGAGACAGAGCATGCGTGGGGGAGGGGAAGAGAGAGAGGGAGACACAGAATCTGAAATAGGCTCCAGGCTCTAAGCTGTCAGCACAGAGCCTGATGTGGGGCTTATATTTGTCAACCATAAGATCATGACTTGAGCCAAAGTTGGAAGCCCAACCAACTGAGCCACCTTGATCACCCCTCAAAACTGCACTTCTAAAAGATCTTCTGTCAGCAGTGAGTAAAATGAGGGAAAAGAAACTCAGGTCAGAAGCAATGTCGATAGACCAATTAAGAGGCTAAACCAGTTTAGAAGCTCCTAGACTTTCCTGGTGAAAGCTAATTACAGCTTGGACTAGGATGGTGGGTGGTGGAGATGCAGAGAAGTGATGGATTGGAAAGATAGGAAGTCAAATCAACAGGAGTTGGTGATAGACTAAACATGTAGGGTGAGGCAGAAGGAGATGGCAGGAATGATTCATGCTAGAGGAAGTGACTGGGTGATGGTGCTGTTGACCAAAATGGGCAAGTTGGAGATGGCCCAGGTTTGTGGGAGAAACACAATTTTATCATATTAAATTTGAGGGGCCTTTGAGATGCCCAGGAACAGATGCCAAATAGGTCATTGGATATGTGGGTCTGGAGCTCTAGGAGGCCTGGATTACAGATACCAGGGAGCAAATGGTCTAGAGAAGGTAATCTCAGCAGTAAAAGTATACTGCCTCCCAAGGAAGGAGTATAGGAGGAAAAGATGAGGTCCTAAGACTGGGTCTTAAGTGTGACTCCTGTTTAATGACCCGATAGAGAAAAATACACCTCAAGCATCAGCAAAGGGATGGCTGGAAAGTTGGTGAGACCAAAGAGAAGGTGGGGTCTCAGGAGGCCAGGGAAATGAGTGAGTCAAGAAGCAGGGAGTGCACAATGTTTACAGCAGCGCTATCGACAATAGCCAAAATATGGAAAAGAGCCCACATGTCCATCGGCTTTGGAATGGATAAAGAAGATGTGATGTGATGTGTGTGTGTGTGTGTGTGTGTGTGTGTGTGTGTGTGTGTGTATGTGTGTATATATAATGGAGTATTACTCAGCAATCAAAAAGAATGAAATCTTGCCATTTGCAACAATGTGGATGGAACTGGAGCATATTATGCTAAGTGAAATTAGAAAAAGACAAATATGACTTCACTCATATGTGGAATTTAAGATACAAACAGATGAACATAAGGGAAGGGAAGCAAAAATAATACAAAAACAGGGAAGGGGACAAAACATAAGAGACTCTTAAATATGGAGAACAAACAGGGCTGCTGGAGGGGTTGTGGGTGAGGGATGAGCTAAATGGGCAATGGGCATTAAGGAGGACACTTGTTGGGATGAACACTGAGTGTTATATGTAGGGGATGAATCACTGGATTCTACTCCTGAAATCATTATTCCGCTGTAAGCTAACTAACTGGGATGTAAATTAAAAATAATAATAATAGGGGCGCCTGGGAGGCTCAGTCGGTTAAGCATCTGACTTCAGCTCAGGTCATGATCTTGCGGTCCGTGGGTTCGAGCCCCATGTCAGGCTCTGTGCTGACAGCTCAGAGCCTGGAGCTTGCTTCGGATTCTGTGTCTCCCCTCTCTCTGACCCTTCCCAGCTCATGCTGTCTCTCTCTCAAAAATAAAAAACATGAAAGAAAGAAAGAAAGAAAGAAAGAAAGAAAGAAAGAAAGAAAGAAAGAGAAAGAGAGAGAGAGAGAAAGAAAGAAAGAAAGAAAGAAAGAAAGAAAGAAAGAAAGAAAGAAAGAGAGAAAGAGAGAAAGAGAGAGAGAGAGAGAGAGAGAGAGAGAGAGAGAGAAAGAAAGAAAGAAAGAGAAAGAAGCAGGAAGTGTAAAACTGTGTCACATGCTCCTGAGAGATTACATAAGATGGCTAAAGACAGTCTGCTGGATGTGGAGAAAAGGTCACTGTTGGTCTTAGTGAAAGTGGTTTGGTTTGATGGAGACAGGAGTCAGATGGAGATGGGTGAGGAGTAGGAGATGAGGAAATGGAGACAGTGAATGCAGATCACATCTTGGGAGGTTAGATTGTAGGGAGGAGGGGAGACAAAAGGTGAGAGCTGGGGAGGGGCAAGGGGATATTTTGAAAATAAGAGGGATGTGAGGGGCACATGAGTGGCTCAGTCGGTTGAGTGTCTGAGTTCGGCTCAGGTCACGATCTCATAGTTCATGGGTTTGAGCCCCATGTCAGGCTCGCTGCTGTCAGCACAGAGCTTGCTTTGGATCCTCTGTCCCCCTCGCTCAATGCCACTCCACTGCTCATGCTCTCTCTCTCTCTCTCTCAAAAATAAACACTTAAAAAATAAAATAAAATAAAATAAAATAAAATAAAATAAAATAAAATAAAATAAAATAAAGGAGAGGGATGTGAGCATGCTTCAGTTTCAGTTGGGAAAATAGCTGGCCGCAAGGAGTTGGGTATCCAAGAAAAAGGGAAGCTTCAGAGATGGGAGGGAATGGTCACAGAGAAGGGGAGCAGGGTTGTTCCCCGTAGAACAGAAGGAAGTGGAGAGGAGGGTGTGAGCCAGCGGGTCTGTGTGAGGGGAGGTGGAGAAGCAGAGGGGCTTCTGCTGAGACAGAGTGAAGAGTGGGCATGAGGTGGGCTTGAGAAGAGTGAAGTTTGAAATTGTGAGAATCATTATCAGAAAAATTATTCTCAGGATGCAACAGTTCCTCAGTCATCTGAGAGAAATTATGATTGGAATACCCAGGTTACTTGCACTACTTTCCTAGAGTTGCCATAACAAAACACCACAAAGTGAGTGGCTCCTAGCAACCAGGAGAGAACTTTATTCTGTCATAGTGTTGGATGTTACAAGTCCGAAATCAAGGTATGAGCAGGGCCATGCTCCCTCTGAAGTCTCCAGGGGAAGATCCTTCCTTGTCCCCCCCTAGCATCTGGCAGTTGCTAGTAATCCTGGCTGTTACTTGGCATCCTTGGCTTCTAGATGCATCACTCCAATCTCCACCCCTGTCCTCACATGGCTTTCTCCCCTCTGAGTCGGTCTCCATGTTTTCCTCTTTTTGTAAAAACATCAGTCATTGGGAGCTCCTGGGGGCCTCAGTCGGTTAAGCGTCTGACTTCTGGCTCAGGTCATGATCTCACAGCTGGTGGTTCAAGCCCCACATAGGGCTCTGTGCTGACAGCTCAGAGCCTCTAGCCTGCTTCAGATTCTATCTCCCTGTCTCTCTCTCTGTCCTTCCCCTGCTTGTGCTCCCTCTTTCTGTCTCTCTCTCTCAAAAAAAATTTTTTAATTAATTAAAAAAAAAAGAACATCAGTCATTGGAGTCACCCTACTCCACTATGACCTCATCTTAACCTATGTATGTCTGCAAAGGCTCCATTTCCATATTAGGTCACATTCACAGGTTTCAGGTGGACATGAATTTTAGGGGAACACTATTCAATTCAGTATATATATTACTAAGACATGAGATTGTGTTAATGCATCTTTAAAGTATTTGTATAATTAAAATGAAAAAGTCTTTAACAGCTCATGTGTATAGATCTCAAGTGCTTCATAAGCACAGTGTCAACGTGCCCCCTGTAAAACTGTTGTGGTATCTCCATTGTCCCCGTGTTACAGGTGAGGACACAGAGGCCAAGAGTAGCTGAGTGATTTGCCTAGGGTGAGATCCTGGCAGAGCTAGGCCCAGAACACAGGCACCCTGACCAGTAACACTCAGCTCTATTGCCTGCCTTTTTCCAGGTAACCTGGAGTTAATCAGAACAAAACTTAATCAGCTATTTATCTATGTCACTACCCTTCCCCGCCAACATTCTTTGCTCATATCTCTTTCTCTACATACAGTGCTTTATGCATTCAGCATGTCTGCAGCTCCATACTGACAGCCTACTGCATGAGAACAGAAGCCTACTGTTTGGCCCATTTGGGCTGGCAAAATATAACTCTTTCTTTTCCGGTAACTTCTGGGCTTGGCTTTCTTTCCCCAGGTCCACAGCATCCAGTTCATGGAGTTCTCAGAAGTGGAGAACCAGGATGACTACTACAGCATAGACGCGGGTTACGTCTACACCCAGGACCAGCGAGGAGTGCATGTCATGTATGATGAAGCCTTGAGTGATCTGAAGGAGCTGGAGGCAGAAATGCTGCTTGTAGCCAGCCATTACATTGAGAAAGAGAAAGGTCAGAAGTCAGATTTTAAAAAATCAACCAGCCAAACAAATAATAAACACTAAGGGCTCTGTTTAACACCTTCCACCTGGAAATGGAAACATAAATGCATATCCAATAGTATCTGAAAACTCAGTAAGTTCATACACCTCCCCTGTTTTAGAGAAGATATGGTTCTGCTTCTAGCTCAACTCCCTCTTCTTGTTGGAGACTGTGACTCCTCTTTCAAAGCGTGGTTATAATTCTGACTGTTGTTTAGACTCTGTTTGTTCCCCACCAGGTGAAGGGGGTGTCATGCAGGGCCCCGAGGGAAGCAAAGTAAGGGAGTGAAGGTAATAATTCTTTTTTCCTAAGTGACAAAAAAGTGATTGACCTTGGGGAAACAGCAGTTAGAAGCAGAGACACCCTAGAGTTCCTAACAAAAATCCAGCAGGATAAGCACCAAAAGGAGAAATCATTACTCAGGGTAATCAAATAACCTATACTATGGGTTCTCTTCTTCCTTCTGGCGTCACTCAAATGTATGCAATTCTAGAAATAGGTGAGGAAAGAAGAATCCTTTTGGAATAATATGATGACATTAGCATTATATTTGGAAAGAGCTTAGAGTTTCTAGACATATTGCAACACCTAAAAGGAAATTTAGCAAGGGTTTGTGCTATTTTGTAATATATGTGGTTGGTAATTAAGAATAATTCATTTTGGGGCGCCTGGGTGGCTCAGTCAGTTAAGCGTCCGACTCTTGGTTTCTGCTCAGGTCATGATCTCACAGTTCATGAGTTCAAGCCCCACATTGGGCTTTGCATTGCCGGTGTGAACCTGCTTGGGATTCTCTCTCTCTCTCCTCTCTACTCCTCCCTCTCTCTCTCTCTCTCAAAATAAATAAACTTAAAAAAAAGAATTTTAATATTGATATAAAATACTGCTCAAAGAATGTTTGACAACTAACCTTTCAGAGCCAGACAGAATTAACTTAACATTGAATTGAACTCTGCCCTCTTTGTTATAGACCATGGGTGTCTGAATCATGGGATGCAGTGATGGCATCCAACATTCTAGGGCATTTAATTTCAACTTTTAGCTTTTATCTTTACTGGTTATTCTACATACTGATGGCATAATTTTTATTGATATTAATTTATAATACTGTGCAACTGTTTCAAGCTGCTAAGAATTTAATTTGATTGAAACAGTCAGCAGTTATTTAGCCACATGAACAAGACCATCTTTCAACCGAGCTAGTGAATATGTAGTCATCCGTTGTGGAATGATTTCCCAACCTCTGCTGAAGAAATTCCTGATCAAAGTCTTTTTCTTGTTCAGTACCCATCATATACGTGATAATTATTGAACTCAAAGTTCAGCACCTGAAACTCTCTTACTTTTTGATATTTCAGTCTGAAATAGACCACTCAAAAATTGAAAGCAATACTCATGCTGGTATTGAAAAATTAACATTAATATAGTGGGAAAATATTTTAGCTGAATATAATGACAAGGATTACTTACCTTTATTGATTTAAGTTAGGAATTAACATAATTAAGGAATATCTTAGAAACTTCTCTGAGAAGTTTTTACTTGGCTAATATCACTTGGAAGAGCGGGGTTAACCTGGGTTTGTGGTTAAACCACCAGGGACCTATTTTTAGAGAAGGTGAAATGTATGTTTTGCCTTTAAATTACAGGTTTGAGGATATTTTCGTGAAGATTTCATATTAACTGAATTTTGGTTGTATTTCTAAAATTAGCCTTTAAGACTAAAATAAAAAGTGGAAACAAAAACCTCTATTGACTTAGAAGTCAACAAGTGTGAACTTAGGTCCTAGTCTTGGCCAATGGCTCTCCAGCTGATTCTTAGGAACCCCTGTGACTGACTCAGTGTTTTCATTCCTGAGATGGAGCTGACAGTTCAAGGGCTGCTTTTCAAATGAGAATAGCTCCGTGGAAAGGCCTGTCTCTGATCATTCTCATCCCCCTTCTCCCAGGTCACAAAGAGGGCAGCAAGTCAAATACTGGCCAGGACTGGGGATGGGCCCATGCAAGCGTGGACAGATTTGCTGTGCTGTATGACATATGGACCTGGGAAGCAGTTCTTCTAGAAAATAAGCGCCAGGTATTTCTCCCTAGAAAACAAAACATCTGTTAAACTTTCTTACAAAACCCAGTATTTAAAACAAACAAAAAGCCTGTCTTTTGGGGCAGCTCCTAACAAAGTATGTAATTATTCTATTTAAATAATCTCAGCTAGTTGTAAGGGTGTGAATAATAAGTTTATTTTCTTGTGGTTCCTTGTTAACAAAAAATAAAATGTGAAGGGTACCACTTTATCTTATAGGCATAATTTGTTAGAGGGCTGTATAATTTAGGATCTTATATATATGTTTTTAGTGAGAATGGGTGATGATTCCATTCACATTCATTGTCCTGTCAGGGACGAGCCTCACTTTGCTACACACAGACACCCTGACTTTATTATGGCCTTTAGAAATACACCACATGTGGGTGGGGCAGGCAGTTGGGCAAGGTATGCTCAGCGCAGCAAGTTACGAGGGTGAGTTTAAAGCAATGAGATGGCATCTTGCTAAATTCATCATCATACCATCAATGGCTCATATCCTAGTAATAAATGAGACACTGCTCTTCATTTGTATCCACAGCATGGATTATTAGCCCTTCTGATGGTCACCAACTCTTGGGAGTTTATTCATCAAACATTAAGTATCTCCTCTGTCTCAGGAACTATTCTAGACATTAGGAACATATGGATAAATAAGAGAAGATAATCTCTGTCTTTAAGGAATTCTAGTCTATAAAAGTTGACCCAGTCTCTAAGTAAAAATTACAGGTGACTCACAGCTTGCAACTGAGGCACACACAAGATCCCCAGAGACCACCGCGGAGGGAGGAATTTGTCCTGTGGGGGGCTATTGGAGTAAAGGAAATATTGGCAAGTCTTCTCAGAGGAATAGATCTTTATTTAATCCTGTTACTAAGAGATGTGTAAGATGTTGTCTGTCAGAGAAGGAAAAATCCTTAAGCAGAGGAAACAGCATTAGCGATGTCAGGGAGGTGTAAAATGAGGATGGTGAATTTGGAGAATAAGAGGACTTCTATGGCTAGGTTATAAAGGCATGATGAGAAATGAGCTGAATGTGTTTTGGGTGCAGCCTGTGAAGGGCCTGCTAATCCATACAACATTTACAGTGTATTTTATGAGCAAAGAGGAGCCATCGGTGAGTTCCAGTAAGGGAGAAATACGACCATAGCTCCGTTTTCACCAGTTGCTGGGGTATTCGTGGGGAGAATAGATTAGAGTGGAGCTCGTGCAGAAGAGCAGTGCAGTTATTGCAACAGTGACCTGGAGAGGGAAGACGGGACCTACACCAAGGATGGAACAGTGACAACAGGAAGGAGGGCAGACTTGAGAGCACTTTGTAGAAATGGAAATGTTGGGATTTGAAGACCAGACGCTGGGGTGAGAGTTTAATAAGGGTGGAATTAAAAAGGACTTTCTCAGGGTCAGGGAGGAGGCTATTAACTGAAATGGAATGCAGGAGGAGGGGCACTTTGGAGGGGAAGGCAATACCGAGTCTGCCACAACAGGCATGTGAGGAGAGTTTGCTAAAACTCAGGTGTGAATGTTTTGTGGGAAGTATAGGTTTGAAGGTCAGGAGCAGATATGAGCTGAGGTATGAAGGTGAACGTTGAGCCACAGTAATGAATCAAATGACTAGGAAAAGCCAGAGATGTCTTAAATGCAGCCCTGGGTAATTCTTGAATTTAAGGGGAAGATCACAGAACAAGAATCCTTGAGGGGAACAAGAAGTAGCCAAAGAAACTAGAGGACAAAAAAGAAGGGATAGTGTGATAAGAGCCAATGAAGGGGGGGGGGGTGCTTTTAATTAGGAGAGGACAGTTACTAACTAGTGTGGCATGCAGCGAAACATCAAGAAAGAGGACTCCTAAACACCAGGCAGTGGGGTCAGTCCCCAGGGTCACTGCCAGCTTCATAGGACTCTCAGAGGAGGTATGGGGGTGGAAGCCAGCTTACAGTGCACTATGATGTGGTCAGAAGATGGGGAAGTGGAAATGTTTTCTTTGAATTGTTTTTCTAGTAGATTAGATGGTTAACCATTTCATCTACTCTCTGGTCTATTACTCACAGAGATGTAGGTCACCCAATTTTTGTAAACACCTGGCTGGGCTTAAAGGGTGAGAGCCTCGGGCTTTGAAAACCGTTCCTCTTTTCAAAGGGAACTGGCCTCTACAGAGTTTGCATCTGCACTCTTCATCTGCCAGTTAGAAACTTCCTTTGATCAACTAAGTGAGAGATCTAGACTCAGAGTGTAGCGACTGAAAAGGCTACATTAAATGTAAATAAGAATCCCTGAACTCAACAGGTTTATTGTCGAAACATGAGTTTTAAGCAGCCCCCCTTTTCTGGGCTCTCTCTCCCCACCTTCCCTTTCAGTGCTTCCAGGCCATCTATGGAGGCCCCAGGCAGGACTCAATGGCAATAGAAGAATAGAAGGGCAGAGAGGACTGAAAAATCGATTTCTCCACACTTTGGCATGCACTTCATTCTGTGCTAAGCTACCAGGGCTGTTCACTAGTTTCCTCTATGGTAAATGAAATTATTTTAACTTAAAAAAATCATTGAAAACGCCTCCCCCCTTTCTACCCTGACAATAAGTTCTCTATAGAAACTGAGCTATCTGTGCCAAAGCTGTGAAACGTGGCCTTCTAAATCAGAAATTCTGTCCAAAGAGCCTATTTCTAATGGATAAACCTTTGTGTTATCTAGAGTACAATTGATTTCTCCCAGTCCTGATTCTACTGTTCTGCCAAATATATTGGAATCCCTAGAGTTAAAAATTGCTCAAACACACTGGGCTGTCTTAAATCCTGAAAGTAACCATTTTGTGTGTAAACTCTCATAAAATTAGGGCTGATGTGAATTCAGGTGAATTAAGGAACTCAGAGAAGCCAGGCATTAGCTGTCCTGGCTCCTAAGTGACACTTGCTCCACATGCTAATTCTCTCTACAGCCACCAGAGGACACATTTTCAGGGTAATTTGAATTAGTGTTTGTAGAACTAAAATAAATAAATAAATAAATAAATAAATAAATAAATAAATAAATAAATACCTGTGACAGTTGTGGCTAGCACCGATTTTCTGTTTTGTACTTGCATTTGATCTAAAATGTTATTTTTTTAAGTTTTTTAAGTCCCAGAAATATAAGACACTTGAAGTAAAAATAATATAAACACAGAAAGGTTTGAGATTATTCGTTTTGGTTTTTTCCCATTTTCTCCAATATTTGATGCCTACCCTCAATGTGTACCACGCATTATTTTGCCTGAGAGTTGGCCCTTGACACACACAGGTGACATTTGACAGGCAAGGAAGACTTCTTAGACAAATACCAGCCCAGAGTTTAAATGGAAATGGGCCAGTTAGCAAACAGATAATACATAGAACCTGTGAGGCAGAAAGATCCTCGTCTTTCCCCTGTTGGGAAAGTATTAATAATAAAATTATGCAAGGGTCCATCTGAGAGTTTCTTGAGGTTGAGGCCAAAGCTTAAAAAAGCCTAATGAATTTTTTAAAAGAGCCACGTTTTCCTTTTCAACAACTAGTGTTGCCAATTAAACTATGACAATATGCGGGACATACTTATACTCAAAAAGTGTTTGCTGTTTATCAGAAACTCAGATTCAACTAGGTGACCTCTATTTTTATTTGCTAAATCTGGCAATCCTGTAAACAACAAAAGCGAGGTTGGCAAATTAGCACCAACCTCTGCAACCTGGTATCAGCAGATTGAAATCACCAGCAAGAACCCTCCCCACAAACTTCTACCAAATAGCCAAACAATAGGGCTCTTTGTACAAAAAACAGGTCAAGGCGTACAAATACTATAAACCAGCTCCTGGGATTGCCTTGGCTCAGTCAAAAAGGTTCAAGTTAGTCCAGAATGATTTAGGGAAGTAATTGTTTCTTTCCTAATCTCCTCACCTAGGCTATTAAGTGACACCTTTCTTACCTGTCACTCCTTCCTTTCTGCTTTGTCCTCTACTATTTAATTATTGAATGTTATTCTAGACTAGAGCTCAGCAGAGGGAACCGGTAACTTAGATAACCCTGCTTGTTCAATTTTCCCCAAGGCTCACTTACAGGGCGGGAGATCTCCACCTTTCTTCATTCCTTGCTCTGAGATGTGTGAGTTCCTAACCTACGAGTGTATTGTGTGTTCTGAGATTTTAGCCTCCTTTGGTGCTTTCCCTTTCATGCTAAGGTTGGCCTAAGGTCCCTGAGTCCAATGTTTCCCAAAGGGCATCCTGCAAATCCAGATGCTAAATAAAGTGCCCTAGGATCTCCCTCCTTGTGCTTTAGCATTGAAGCCCAGATACTGCACATCTGTTAATAAGACAATGTTTGATTCCTACTCTGCTATTGATTCTTGAGTGTTTACCTCTCTAGGGAGTCTTGGAAGCCATGATTATCAAGATGGAGACACTCCTGGCTTTTCCTGCCACATATTCATGTAGTGCTTGCACCTTCTCAGTTCTTTCTGGTTTTGTATTCTTTTCTTAGCTATGGACTCCACACAAAGAGAGGGGCTTGTTATCACCTTCAGGGAAATTTCTTATTTTGTTAAGAAGAGGGTTGACTTCCTGCCCCAAGCCACCAGGAAGACCAACACCCAAGGAAACAAAACACACTCTTTCTCTGATGCATCTCAAAGTGTGCTAGGCTGTCAGATTGGTGGAAATTGCAACCTCAGCAATTCACTCCTTTCTGCCAATTAAATCCACACACTGGGCAAGGCTGTGTGTCTTTAAAATACATAGATAGATAGATAGATAGATAGATAGATAGATAGATAGACATGTGTGTATGTATATATATATATATATATATATTGTTTTAGCTCAATTTTAGCTAATTTATTGTCAAGTTAGCTAACATACAGTATATATACAGTGTGCTCTTGGTCTTGGGGGTAGGTTTCCATGATTCATCACTTACATACAACACCCAGTGTTCATCCCAACAAGTGCCCTCCTCAATGCCCATCACCCATTTCTCCCACTCCCCCCACCCCATCAACCCTCAGTTTGTTCTCTTTATTTAAGAGTCTCTTATGGTTTGCCTCCCTCTCTGTTTGAAACTACTTTTTCCCTTTCCCTTCTCCCATGGTCTTCTGCTAAGTTTCTCAAGTTCCATATATGAGGGAAAACATGATATCTGTCTTTCTCTGACTTATTTCACTTAGCATAATACTCTCCAGTTCCATCTACATTGTTGCAAATGGCAGGATTTCATTCTTTCTCATTGCCAAGTAGTATTCCATTATATATACAAACCACATCTTCTTTATCCATTCATCAGTTGATGGATATTTGGGCTCTTTCCATAATTTGGCTATTGTTGATAGCACTGTAAACATTGGGGTACATGTGCCCCTATGAATCAACACTCCGGTATCCTTTGGATAAATTCCTAGTGCTTTGGTGATATGACTACAATGGGAACTGACACCTTCCAGAAGAGTGAAACCTCCATAAGAGGAGCTAGGGAAAGAAGACTGGGAAGGGACATCTTGAGCTAAAACTCTGAGGGAGGAAGTGTTGGATTAGATCAGTAGAGGAAAGGAATCTGTTCTGTTGTGAAATGAATGGAATAAAACTTCAGAAGCTTCCAGTGAAAGCTGATTTATCCATCAGGCAATGTGGACTTGGTGTTTAGGATCTAAGAGCTTTTCAGGTACCATTGAAAATGTTTGGGATTTGAGAAAAAAAAAAAACTTATGCATTACTCTGAAATATGAAAAGAAAATACAACATAGAACGCAGTAATGCTTAATCACATGTCAGTAAAATGTAAAAACATTGTTAACTCAGCACTTATAAACATTTCTTTTGCATCTGAAAATTTCTAGATCAGATCTTCTCACTTCTTAAGAATCTCTGAATATATACTGCCCAGAAATCATAGCCAATCATTAACTCAAAGTGATGTTTGTAGCCAAATTGAAAAGCAAAATTCTAAATATCATTTAACATTTTTACAGAAAAAAAAAAATTGAATGGGATGTGAGTATGTCTTACTATAGTTGATATAATGTGGGATAGGGTCTCCAAAAAAAGATTGTCTAAGCCCTATGAAGGCCTGAACAGTAATCACACTGTTCAGAACTGCTTAATTATCTTGCCCTTAGGTCCCTGTTTGGGATTCCAGCCCAGTGATCTCTCAAGAGCCTTTTCCTGATTAGCACCATGACTAATTACACACAAATAGAATTTACACTCAGAACAGAAATTTCTTACGCTCACAGACAAATGTAAAAGCAAAATAAAGAACATCTCTCTCTGGATTCTCACATTAGGAACCCTCTTCAATGGTTAGTGTCTGGAAGCTTTCTTTGGTTTTTAGGAAAGGCTTGTGACCTCCACTGGAATTAAATTAAATTAAATTAAATTAAATTTAATTTAATTTAATTTAATTTATTTTATTTTAAATAAATTAAAAAATTAAAATAAATTAAACAATTAAAAAAAGAAAGTAATACAAATAATTTTTCATCAAATTATCAATAATCAAAGTATATAAATGATTTTATACACTGCAACATTCCAATAAAATTACTAATTCTCGGGGCGCCTGGGTGGCTCAGTCAGTTGAGCGTCCGACTTCGGCTCAGGTCATGATCTCAGGGTCAGTGAATTCGAGCCCCATGTCGGGCTCTGTGCTGACTGCTCAGAGCCTGAAGCCTGTTTCAGATTCTGTGTCTCCCTTTCTCTCTGACCCTCCCCCGTTCATGCTCTGTCTCTCTCCGTCTCAAAAATAAATAAATGTTAAAAAAAAATTTTTTTGTTTTTTAAATTACTAATTCTCACTTCTAAAAAAAAAAAAAACAAAAACAGAAAAAGAAAAGAAAATCTCCCCCAAATGCCTTTCAGAGCTCTGTACACCAGGCCCTTCCTAGCAATTTCTAGGTAAAATTGAGCAAACTATTAAAGAAAAGGGGTCAGAAACGAGGATAAGGAGAGGAGGCCACCTGCCTCCATTTGGTCAAAGAGTAAAATGGAGGCAGGAGAATGAGCCTGTGGAGAAAGGTGTTACAGACAAATATATTTGATGGAGTGACATTGCATGCACCGTCTCATTAGAGCTTATCATTATCACATGTTATATTATTCATTATTTAAGGCTCCTTTTATTTGTGGAGAGTAGGGGAAGAGGGGACACAGGCAAAACTAGTGTCCCTTCCTTTGCCCTCCCTCCCTCTGTGGGTTTACTAATTGCTCTGAGTCGCTTTGGTGCTGCAGCTGCCCGAACCAGGCCGGGGTACCGCGGTACCCCTAGGTTCTGAGCGGTTTCTCCCCTGCTGATGCCCCGGGGCTTTCCAAAGCATGGAGTGGGTGGGGCCTCACCTCTCTTTGCTGGGCCCTACGGCTGCCTCTGCTGTTCCCTGACTAGAAACCTTATTTGCAGCTTCTTGACAGTTACTTTGAGGCCTACCAGCACGTGTTGGACCCCGAGGAGAGGTTTGCCTTAGCACAAGTGATCACTGACATCATGCACAGGTGCCCAAGGTTTGATTTCAGCCACCCTTATTTCATTAAGGCCTACAAAGATGAATGCACCTGCCTGAGGCTTCACTTGCAGCTGGTGAGGGGCATCCTCAATCAGCACGTAAGTACATTTGGATTTTAAAATAGTACGTGTGAGAAAGTGTTTTCCTTTCATTGCAGGTTCAGAATCCAGGTTTTCTAGGGCAGCACGTTGAGCATGTTTATTTGTAAGCTCATTTGCATTGTTGAATTCCAAGCATAACTACAGTCTTAAATGGAAGTTTCCAACCCTAATTACATTTAATGGTCTGCAAAGAATAGACAAGTTATTTTCACTAGATGATGGAGTTTATTGGTACTGAAAGGAGGACTAAACATACCCCTTTACAAGCCATTAATGTATAAAGTTGTGTTTATTAATTTGTTTTTAATGCTGTGGCTATTTTTAGGACACTAAAGGAAAAATTAGTGTACATCCTCTGGGGAAAAGCCAGTGGCAGGAAGTAAGCAAGGGATAAATTGTTGCAGTGCGTTTACCTGAGACCTGGTTAGATTTTTTTCCTTGTAGTCAATCATTTGACAACGAGAAGTTTTCCTGGGCCTCTTAAGATTGTCTGAACTTGGTTGCCTTTTTTTTATTGGCTGATCCCAGGCTCAGACTGAGACACCAGCATGTCTTCGTGTGAATGGATCCTCAAAACCATGTCTGGGTGAAAATCAGTCAAATAATGAAGGGACGCAAAGGACTGCTGTTCTTCTCATGCCAGGGCTCATAATTCACACCCATGGGAAAGTTTAAGTTTTCTAATTTTAACTTTTATGTTACATTTCTAGATAGAGCGCCAGCGGGAGTATGTCCAGAGGCTTTGGCAAAGAGGCCATCCAGATGATAGCAGTAACTTTGGACTTCCCCTTAACATAATTTGCAAACAACTTATTTCCATCAACAATAGCTGGTATGGTGCTATTGTCTTTAGACATTTTACATTTAATCTTTTAGATAAGTTAAAGGGTATGATGGTAAGTCTAAATACTATTCTATAAAGTACCTTTCAAGTGTCTGGGGAGATGAGACAAGTAGATATAAAAGCCACAGAAGAGGGATTTTCTTGCGTACTCAATACCCATTTGCTTTGTAAGTAATAAAGAATAGGAGGCTAGAATTTAAAAGTTAAAACACTGGGTGCAGAATCTTTATTCTCTTGAGAAGCTCTATAAGAAAGAAAGAAGTTGTTCTTAAAAATGCCATCAGAGGACTTATTCAGAGGTGCCACACAAGCGGACATGCATGAAACTTGGGTGTGCTTAAAAGTTTCTCAAAAAGGAATTTCTTTAGTAAGTGTCACCATTTCCGCAAACTCGCCTTGTGATCCTCTACCCCTTTAAGGAGCAAACTAAATTTCCTAAGATCACTCAGAGAAGGTATACCCCCATGACATGCATGCAGTTTGAGCCACCCCCTCCCCGCCATTCCTTCCTTGCCTTTGAGAGTGGTAAGGGAATCAGGAAGTGGGTTGCAAGCCCCAAGTTGGTCTGTATGGCCCATGATCACAATCTCTATTGCCTTCAAATGGGTGGAGAAATCATCCAGCTCCTTTCAACACGTCACAAATATCTGCTGAGCCACCTACAAGTACTGGGCACTGTGCAAGGAGGTGAGGACACAGTTGTGAACAATAGAGGCATGGCCCTGTGCTCCCATCAAGCGCACAGGTCAGCAGTACAGGCGCACTTTCACTAGGATATGGCCGCAATGGGCTATGGTATCTTCTTGGGGAGTAGCAGGATGCCGTGGGATTTCGTAGCTTAGATTCTTTTTTTTTTTAATTGTTTATTCCTTTTTTGAGAGAGAGAGAGAGGCACAGATCATGAGCAGGGGAGGGGCAGAGAGAGAGGGAGACACAAAATCTGAAGCAGGCTCCAGGCTCTGAACTGTCAGCCCGATGCGGGGCTCGAATTCATGAACCGTGAGATCATGACCTGAGCTGAAGTCAGACACTTAACCGACTGAGCCACCCTGGTGTCCCTCGTAGCTTAGATTCTAACCTTATCCCTTGAGAAAGAGCCCTGGGAGTTCCAGGCACAAGACTGCATTTTCTCCACAGACCTTTCTAAGGACTGATTTCTTCTCTGTCATAAGATTGAGACATCAGCTGTCTGTGTGCGGCTCGCTATGGCAAGAATCTACTCTTGAGGAAATGGTTCTTGGCGGAACATGCTAGGGCTGTATGGATACCAAGACCTGTCAGAACAGTCTCAAAAGCAAATGTTATTTGCTTGATGAAATTCCTTTCCAGCCCTAGGGTTGTAATTTTTAAGATCTAGAACTAAGAGGAATCCCATTTGCACAGATTTAAGAAGTATTTATGTTCTTTAGTTCTATATAGGTATAGAAAGGCCCTTGACTTGTGCTGTATCCTCTATTTTCAAAGGAATACCCACAGACAAGCACTTTGTTATTTCTGGCTTCATCCATTTATAAAATAGAACCTTCTTATGGCAAACGTGAATGATTCTAGCAGTTGTGTACAGAATTTAAAATGTGTCTTTGTTCATTAACATTTTCAGGGAAAAGGATAAAGACTCAGGTAGAAAAATAGAAAGCAATTATGGAAATTATGTATTTAATATTTAGTCACTGATAAGTTATTTTGTTTTCAGATATTTGACTAAATGTTGATTACTGGAATGATTATAGGTTTGCCATATACAGTTTAAGAATCAGATTGGGCTTTTAGAATAAATTCTTATGGCTCCCAATTTTAAAAGGGTTCACATTAAAGCAAAGGGCATGTTACATAATCTGGTGGCTTCCCTGGATGGCCTCTGAGGCCCCTTTAAGCTTCCAATTTTTTATAATGTCCTGGATTAAAACAGCTGTTTTATTGGTCTTAAAAAATGTAAAATTCAAATGTCTTTTGAAACAGATCAAGTTCTTCACTGTGTAAAATTGTCATTGATCCATCCTCTTTTCAAGCCCGTCTTTGAAAAACATGTATCTGCTGGAGTTCCACCCTTCCCTGGGCCTGGCATCGCTCATCCCCCGATCTCTTGATCACCTTCTCCAGGAGGCCCGTCACACCTGCAGACCCACATCAGCCAGCAGCCTCACCTTGCTGGAGAGACGCGTGCTGCAGCTGGCCCTGGATATGTGGCTCACACCGGCCCAGCCTGAGTCCTGGTACAGCACACGTCTCCACAAAGATGTAGGTTCTCCGAAAGGGGAGATGGGGGAGCTCCTTGGCCAAGGGAATGTTTCCAGGCAGATGTTACTACTTAACTTTGTTTTTCTGTTTGGCTCTATTCCTCCCCTATTTGGCCAGAGACAGATCATAGTGCTGGGCTTTGCCAACATTTTTATGTAATGGTTTTTTCATTTTCGGTCAAAGTTTCTATTTTATCAAAATACTGCTACAGTTAGAAGGGAGATATACATACGTATGTGGGAGATGTTTTCTGGATTATTTATATTTCAACAATACACATTTTTAATTTAAAAGCTATGTATTTTATTTGCACTAAAGCTCTTCCTGAAATTCCCTCTTTTTGTCCTGACCTGAGATCTGGTATGAGAGAGAGAGTGGCTGAGTGAGGAGACAGGGACCTGGACTCAAGTTCTGCCCTGCCATTAACTTGCTGTGTGACTCTGAGAAAGTCTTTGAGCCTCCCCGAGCTTCTTTTTCCTATTTTGTAACCTTATGTTTGTGTATTTGAGGGGAGGGAGATGGAAATGAGCCTGATGGTCTCTAAAGCCCCTTTCAGCTTAGAACTCTATGGTTCAAACTATGGCCTAATGATTTACTTAGTATTTGTAGTTAGATTTTAATTCTCTTCTTTTTCTGTTAAGGCCAGCACAGTGGAGCCTATATTTCCAATCTGACCTTACTCTGTGTGGGTACATGGTGTATGATGAAGGAACTTTCAGCTACCAAAAATCTCTCTTCCATGCATCTGCCTTGACCTCCTATCCCCTCCTAAACTAAAATTTTATTTTATTTTAATTCATTTTAAATCGATCAAAATAATGTAATACAGAATTTTAGCAAATGAAAAAAGCAAAAGAAAAAAATTACCCTAAATATAATCACTCAAATGCATTCACAATACTTTTCTGAATTCAAGCATTCTTCATATGTGTATTTTACATAGTTATAATCACATCCTTCATCCACTGCTTTTCATACACTTAATACACTGTTTTTCTCAGTTAACATTGTATTATATGTTTTTCCATTTTGCTAACTAGTCTTTATACTCACCTTTATGGTTATAATTCCCTTAAAGGATGATCATAACTTTTCCACCTCTTTCCTTATTGTTGGACATTCAAGTAATTTCTAATTTTTCATTGGTATTAAAATTGTTATAATGTATGTTTCCATACTTACAGATTTTTCTATATTTTAAATCAGTTGCTTTGATAGATTCTTAGGAGTGGAATTACTGAAACAAAATTTAAGTCTTTGGATGCAAGTTGGCAGATTGCTTCTCAAAAGAGTTGGGACAAATTATAATGCCACCAACAATTTGTAAGAGTACTAATTCTGCCACACTGTACAGTATTAAGTATAAGCATATGTCTGTGTGTGTGTATATATATAAATAATATATATATGTATATGCATGTATTTATATATAAAGCATATATACAGACATATGCTTTATATATATGTATAAAACAGGTGGCATTGCCTTGTTAATTTGCATTTCCTTGGTATTTGTTGAGACTAAATATCCTTCCAAATGTCTTGTTACAAGTTGTATTTTTTTGTGAATCTTCTGTCTTTCCTTTTATTTATCTCTTAGAATCCTAATGTCATTCCTATTCACTTCCATGAGCTCTCTTCAATAAAAATTTTAACCCTTTGTCCATGATATTTTCTGCAAATATTTCTCCCAATTTATCTTTTTCTGTTTTATTTTCATAGAGTAAAATCTGTTGATCTTTTCCTTTGTGATTTCTTTTATCTTCCTAAATCCAGAAAGCAAATCATCTTCCACATGTTTTATATTTGTCTTACTTTATTCTAATTTCTTAAGTCTTTATTTTATTTTAAAAATATTTAACTTCTTTAGTATTCCACCTGGAGGGAGAGAGAAAGAGAGATGAAGATGGCTCAAAATTGAATTTTTCCTGGGGCACTTGGGTGGCTCAGTCAGTCAAGCATCCAACTTCGGCTCAGGTCATGATCTTGTGATTCGTGAGTTCAAGCCCTGCTTTGGGCTCTGTGCTGACAGCTCAGAACCCGGAGCCTGCTTCAGAGTCTATGTCTCCCTCTCTCTCTGCCCCTCCCCTGCTTGCTCGCTCTGTCTCTCAAAAATAAATAAATATTAAAAAAATTTGAATTTTCCCCCAAATTACCAGTCATGTATCTATTACCATTTACTGCAGATTCTTTTCACATTGTATTATGTTACCAGATTTTTTTAATGTATTTTAAATTCTCTTATAACTCACAGTGAGTATTTGAGATACCTCCCTAATTTCCCATTGATGCCATATGCAGTTTTAATTATTCTTACTTTTGAAATGTGTTCAAATTTGGATCTAGAAATGTTAAATACTCAGATTAATCTTTTGTATTAGGCCAAAAAATGGGGGAGACATTGTCCTTAGAAATGAGTTTCTAATAGGAATTAGTTTAATAAAAAATTTTTATCACTTTGGAAGACTTCAAGAATCTAGAAATTGCATCGTCAAGTAGAAAAGGCCTTTGGTGGATCAGTGGAGAGATAAAGGAATCTGTGATAGAAAAGGCAGATAAGGGAGATAAGGCAGAAAAGGTAGATAAAGGAGCCAAGCCAGCAAAGGCAGATTTGGGGGTCCCCAAACTGGGTCCTTGCTGGGAATGGTATACGAGGGTGTAGCAACGATGTCAGAGCAGAGGAGCCCCCCGTGGCAGGAAGGCTGTAAAGAGCAAGGAGGTTATTTCAAAAATTGCCCGGAACATGTAAAGGCAGTTTAGCAATACTATAAAACTACTGGACTGGAGTTAGGAAGTGTAAGTTTATTCTTGGTACTGCTGTGTGACCTTGGAAAGTTTCAGGGTTGCTTCAGATTTCTCAGTAATAAAATGGAAATGATGGTATCTGTGACTCCTACTTCATGGGGATCTTGAGTTCATGTACACGAAAACACTTCGAAATTTTGAAATTGCACTTAGAAGAGTTTATAGGAAATTATTCTTATTATTGGCTTCTAAAATACTTGGAAAACATCAGATTCCTACTTCTATTCTTTATTTTGGCTTAAAATATTTATAATAATGATAACAGCAAATACTATGTACCAGGCACTTTTGTATATATTAACTCAATGAACTCTCTCAATAACCTATTTAGGTAATTATTGTCTACTTGTTCCTCTTAGGTATTGTTATTATTCTTATCCATCCTTTACAGATGAGGAAACCGAGAAATAGCAAAATTTTGTAGCTTTTAAGTGGCAGAGCAAGGACTTGAGTCCAGGAAATCTGGATTCAGAGTCTGTGCCACTGAGAGTGTTTTTTCTTAATATGTGAAATTTCTTTTTTTATACTTTAAAAAGTATTTTCTTTCAGCTGTTTTCAGCTAAAGTAATGGGAGATCCCTTTCTCATGGAGGAGATAGGTCTGCTTGCACTCAAGTCCGCAGCAGACGAAGGACAGAACCAAAGCCAAGATTCTCACATGCTGCTCCTGGAGACATTTTCCAAACTTCTGGAACTTGTGACCCTCCGCCACCGGCTGATAGAAATGAGTCTGGAGAGTGTACACTTAGCTCGGTCAGTACGGGGACTGAGGATCCAGATGGGGGAGAACAGACCATAGGTGTCCCTGCCTACAAGCCTTGCTCCCTCTGTGCCCCAGAGCAGTCAAAGCAAGCTTTCTAAATGGCTGAAATGACCACCTTCCCCACTTTTTCATTCTCCACCCAGGCCTCCCCCTCATGGCTCTCTGACCACTCAGCTAGGCTAGGCCCTCCTCCTAGACCTGGGCTTCCTCTCTATTCAGCACATTGCCTTTCAGTTAGATGCTTAATACTGGTTTATCAGTTTTCCTGCTAGTGTAAGCTCCCTGATTGCAAAAGCACTGTCCATGTCGGTTTCCATGGTGTCCCATCACCTGGTATGAGACCTGACTTATACTCAACAAGTATTTACTGGATTTGCTCTTAACTATGATGAAGTTGAATAGCAGAGCAGAAGCAATAGAAGGATTAGAGAAAGGAGAGGGATGAGTTAGTGACAGTATCCAGGCCTTACAGAGGTTTGGAAGGTTAAGCAGGTGGGGGTGGGGGGGTGTGGAGAGAGAGAGAGAGATAAATGAGTTAGGTTTTAGGTATGAGTGTGAAGTGATGCAAAGACATCCAAGTGGACATGTTCCATAAGCAGGAAAAATATGGAATTAAAGGGTTTGTTGCAAACATGTATGAGTTCCCTTGTGTTCTAGTCCCCCACGAGAGTGCCTATATACCTGAAGAGTGCAATCATCTACCACAAACCATTACCAAGGGCCTGCTATGGCCAGGGTCTGTGCTGGGGACTTTATGTGTACTCATTCATTTAATTTCCAGAATATTCTTAATAAGTAGCTTACTAATATTTTACCAGCAAGGAAGTGGAGGCTCAGAAAGGTAAGCTATTTGCCTAAGATCACATACCTAGAAAGTAGTAGAAACAGAATTCGAACCATGAGTCAAGATGTTTATTAACCTTTATGATACTACCTCCTCATAATCTTTGATCCTTGATCTCAGGGATCTCACAATTTAAAAGTTACTTCTACTATAGTTTAATATGCTATTTTAGTCATATAACCAAAATACTATGGGAACTCAGAAAATGGAGTGTTTCATTCTTTGTAAGCGGGTCAAGGAAAGCTTCATAACAGAGGCACTATTGAGGAACAAACTGTCCTCTGGCAGGTTCATATGTCCAAGTCCTCAGTCCCAATACATCAGATTGTGACCTCATTTGGAGGTAGGGTCTTTACAGAGGGAGTCAATTTAAAATGAAATTATTAGAGTGGGCCCTCATCCAATATGACTGGTATTTCTTATAAGAGGAGAAGACTTGGACACAGACACACACAGAGAAGGAAGATGATGTGAAGACACAAGCAGAATGTGGCCATCTATAAACTAAGGAGAAAGGCCTGGAACAGATCCTTCCCTCATGGCCCTCAGAAGGAACGAACCCTGCTAATACCTTGATCTCAGACTTCCAACCTCCAGAACTGAGAGACAAATTTCTGTCTATAGTACTTTGGTACATCAACCTAGCAAATTAATGTAGGTGCCTTTTGAGTTCAGCCTTAATGCACCAATTTCTGAAAATGGAGAAATGTGTGAGGATGTGGGTGAGAGAGGAGTGGAAGACATTCTAGACTCTTAAGGCTGAAATGCCAGAGGTGCATCTGAATGGAGCCTTGCTGCAAGCCATGTAAATGTGGGAGTAGAGCTCAGAGTTGGGATAGGACAGAGGTATGGTCATAGGCTCTTATACTAGGGGGCTATCATTAGGCCATGTAGTTGGAAGACAAACTCCCCAAGAAGGGGACAGAGAAGAGGAGAAGAGGACCGGGTTTGGAACCCCAGGAAATACTAGAATTTGAAAATGAAGAGGAAGAGAAGCCAGTGCGGACTGAGAGATAGTGGTCATGAGGTGGGAGCATGGAGATCCTGGATCCAAAGGAACAAAGGTGTTCCTTGAGGAGAGGACAAAGACCAGCTGTGAAATGTTCTGAGAGAAAATAGTGAACCTTGTATTGAAAGCAGTATTGGTGACCTCATGAGGGCTCTGAGGATAGAAGCCAGCAGGAAATGAGAGTTGAGGAAGTGTCCAAGCACATCTCCTCCTACTTTAACTGCTATTTTTAACTGTCATAGTGTAGAGTAGACACAAGACCTTTGTGACTCATTGACTTCATTCCGGACTTGGCTTACTATTGTTTTGACTTTTGCTTTTGTGCTTATTCAGATTTTTTGGGTTTTCTTACCACTTACTTTCCTTCTAGTGGAAAATAATAGCAAATGCTCTTGGCTCTTTATCCTCCCCCCTTTAGTCTCTATAAGGAACTGGCATGGGAGATGGGTTTTGAAGAGTACCATTTGTATCTGAGGCCTGTTCATTTTGAATTTGCATCACACAAGGACAAAGTGGACCATCCACCTCCTGTTTTTATCACCTCTCTGCTGGAGGACAGTGATCGAGTGGACAGGTGAGCCTTGAGAAGGTCCAAGTAAAAAGAATGTAATGGTAGAATGAATGGCCAGTGAAAAATAATTTCTACCACCACTGGACTCACAAATGCAATTGTATTTCTAAATCCCCCCTCTTATATTCTATCTACTATGATGCCATTCTTTTTTCCTTTTTCTTTCTTTCCTTTTTTAATAAGGCAGGGGAAGAACTCAATGAAGGGGGATAATTGAATTTAAAAACAGCAAGCAATGGAAGAATCGGATCAGGGAGCTCAAATGAGATAAGATCACAGACTCAGCAGCACAGGTTGACTGTGTTGCTTCTAGGTAGAAAGGCGTGTGAGAGTTTGTCTCATGGGGCAAGAACCATGGATCAGAAGTCCAGATCCCTTCTCTCACTTTCCCTGGGACCAGGAAGAAGTCAGTTAAATTTTTTGAACAGCTTTTTCCTTGAAACTCTAACACAATGTACAAATCTAACATGTATGGCAGTATCTCAGTCAGATTCTTTTGTTGACCAGCAACAGAAGTGGACTCAAACCCTTGAAACTTCTTCATGCCCCATATGTTCAGCCCATTGCCAGAAAGAGAACACTCTTACTAGTAACAGATCATGAGTCTATAAGTCAGGGAGAGGAATCTTTTTCTTCCATGCAGGATCAGCCTTTGATATGGGCTGAGGAGAAACGTCTGTCTCCCTCTTCTTTCCTTCTTTTCTAGTCTGCCCTTCCCCTGAGGGTCCTTTCTTTCTATCCCTGGAGATTCGTGGTACTGCCCACCCCCCCACCCCCCCACAGGAAAGCAAAGTTGATTCCAAGGAGGAAAATTCACCTTTATTTTGCTAGTGTGGATCACTTGTCAAAATTTAACTTTGACGTGTTGATATGTTAAAGGTCTCCTCTTCTCCAAAGAGACCTTGGGCTGGGTTAGGATGACAGAATATGGTATCCCAGAATTTCTCAACCTTGGCATTATTGAAACTTGAGACTGGATAACTCTTGTAGGGGGCTGTCCTGTGTATCAGAGGTTGCTTATCAGCATCCCTGACCTACCAGATGCCAGTAGTACCCCTTCTCCCCTTTTATAACAACCAAAAATGTCTCCAGACATTGCCAAATGTCCCCTGGAGGCAAAATATTTCTTGCTCTATCCTGTCATGCTAGCTAAACAAAAACAATTTGTCATAAGTATGTAGAAATGTCTCACAGAAACTGAAGGCAGGAAGTGTGAGCAGGCCTCAGGTGAGGCTGGATCTCCAACCTTGAGCCAAGTTATTCTCTGGGTTTTTACGGGGCCTCCTGCAGGAGCTGGTATTTTACACTGATGTAAAATAGGGCATATTTTTGTTCAAGTGGAATCAACCAATCACCAGAAAGTGCCCAAATGATCTGTGGCCTGGCCAAGCTGTGACTGGTTCTCGCAACAATGACCCAAAGATCTTGCAAGATCTGAGGAGCCTTCTGAATTACCAGGGGAAGGTTTATGCACCCAAGGATCTTGTCTCTTGAGTTTGCATTTATTTTATGTATGTTAACTCCTTAGAGTTGCCACTTTGGAGTGATGTTATAACAACATATATCAAACATGAGCATAGTGACTTACATTTTAAAAAGCACATTTGTTCATATTATCCCACTTAATATCTCCATTTACAGATGAAGAAACTAAGATTCATAGGTATTAAATTACTCAACAAAGCCTCATAGGTATGGACAAAGGACCATATCCCAAGGCATAAACATGGTTGCAAAGAACATTTAGATGATTGTTGGGGCAATGGAAGAGAGCAAGAACTGGAAAGCCTTTAGGGAGTGGAGGAAAGGGTTCAAGTCAGTGAAGAGGCTGAGGACATGAGGTCGAAGGTAAGAACAGAAACAGGATAAAACAGTGGAATGGGGATCAACAGAAAAGAATTTGGAGTAGGTGGTCACCACAATGAAACTGAAAGGAGATCAAGTCCAGTAAGGACTGAAAAGACCTCTGAGCCCTTCGGTCTTTGGGCAGAAATATCAAGTCTTGTATAACATCTGCACTCGGATCACCTAGAACTGATCACATGCCATGCGGTCCCATCAGAATGGGCATCTCTTCACTAAATCATGGTACATCAAGACAATGTCATGTTTCTTCTTGCAGATATTCTCCTACTACTCTTGTGTTAGCCATCTCTGAGGTGGATGATAACCAGGTTGGCAAGTTTAGCTTTTATACAAAGGAAGCCATCCTTAAGGTAAATTACTGTTTTTAAAGAAACTAAAGTTAAACAATTTGCTCATGTATTTCTTTAAAGAAAATAATATTTAATTTATATAAGTTCAGCTCCCCTGTGTAAGAAAAGCTTCTAGCCTTACCTTATTTGATGTGCACATTGGCCTGGTTTAAACCATAGAGACTGCAACACCCCATGCAATAACCACTGCTAGCTATCTTAAAGAAGCACATGTAGTGAACCATCTTTGTACCAAATTTTTAAAATATGTACATGTTATTGGAGATTTTATTTGATCTTCTTGAACTTGGTGCTGTTTTTTTCCCCCTTCCATTCAGATGGATTTCTTTGCTTCTGTGTGAGTATGTGTAGGTTTGTATTTGCACGTGTGTGTTTTAAACATTAATCTAATTTTGGCAGTTTTAAAAGTTTGCCACTGAGCACATGTTTGCTAGTTCATCAGAACCTACTCATCCTTTTCTGACCCGAAACCTGATGGTGTCCAGCTATAGAGCAAATCAGGCCTGCAGGCTGCCTTCATGGGATGAAATGGTGCTTAGAGAGAGACTAGGTTCAGTCCCATGTCTGAGGAACAAGGATCTCAGCACATCCGTCAGTTGGATTCATATGTTTACATGTTAAATAAGTGTTGATCTCAAACCCTCAACTTCACCTCTTGCTTTATGGCAGAAATTCCTAATATTTCACATTTTCTTCCTTTAGCTCTTATTCCATTCAGGAGTGGAAAACATGCAAGTGACCCTTGCATGCCAAGCTGCTCAGAAAAATGCTTTGATGGTGGCTGTCCAACAGGCATCCTTCTATCACACGTCCCGATGGGGCTGTTCTGCTGATGTGAAGGTCAGCTTGTAAGATAGAGAGCCCTGAGGCATGCTACTATGTGCCAGCTGATGCTAGGATACCCCTTCCATTCCTAGCCTGTCCCCTTCTCTCTTCCCTTCTTTTCTTCCTCCCCTTCTCCCCTTCCCTCCTTCTCTTTCTTCCTTCTTCCCCTTCTTGTCTATCTTTTTATCTTCTCTCCTTCCCTCTTTCCCTTCTTTCCTTTTTTTTCCTAATGTGAGTCAACACATGACCAAATCTTTACAGGGTCTCTTAATTTCTCGTGATTTGTTAACAGTTTTTCTCTTTGTATGTAACTCTGTAACATTGACTAGTTAGAATCATCCAACAGAAAATATTGTACTTCTACCCCTACCCTTTGTAGAGATATGATTTTATTTGTTTTGTTTTACTCTTCCTGCATTTCTTTTTGTAAAAATCAACAGAGACATTTGTCCCTTCTTTTTTCTACAAAAGGTAACAAACAATGCATACCCCCTTTCCCCCCTCCCCAGATTTCGTAGGTTGTTTTTGAGATATAATTCGCATAACATAAAATTTACTCCTTTAAAGTATGTAATTCACAAGATCATGCAACCATCACCACTATCTAATTCCAGAACATTTTCATCATTTTCAAAGGAAATCCTATACCCATTAGCAGTCAGGCCCCATGCCCCCCTGTTCCCTCAGCCCCTAAAAAACAGTAATCTACTTTCTGGCTTATAGATTTGCCTTTTCTGGACACTTCACATAAATGGAATCATTCAACATATGGACTTTTATATGTGGATTTTTTCACTTAGCATGTTTTCAAGTTTCATCCATGTTGTAGCGTGTATCAGTACTTCATTCCTTTTTACTGATGAATACTTCAGTATATGGATATACCACATTTTGTTTATTCATTCTTCAGTTGACAGACACTGGGTTGTTTTTACTTTTTGGCTATTATAAATAATGCTGCTATGAACATCCATGTGCAGGTTTTCGCAAGGACATACGTTTGGAGTTTTACTAGCACTTGTTATTGTCTCTTTTTTATTTTTGCCATCCTATTAGGAGTGACATGGTATCTTGTTGTGGTTTTGATGTGCATTTCTCTAATTAGTAATGACACTGAACATCTTTTCATGTGCATATTGGCACATGAGAGAAATTTCTACTCAAATTCCCTGCCCTTTATGTCAAATGGAATTTGTCTTTTTATTATTGAGTTGTAAGAGTTATTTATATATTCTGAATACAAGTCCCTCATCAGGTATATGATTTGCAAATATTTTCTCCCATTCTGAGGGTCATCTCACTTTCTTGATGGTATCCTTTGAAACAGAAGCTGTTCGTTTTGATGAATCCAATTCACCTATTCTTTCTTTTGCCACTCATTCTTTTGGTATCATATTTAAGAAACGACTGCTTAGTCCAGAGTCACAAAGATCTACTCCTCTGTTTTCTTGAGTGTTTTGTAGTTTTAGCTCTTGCATTTAGCTCTTGCATGTAACTATTTATGGTTGATTTTTGTATGCCGTATGAGGAAAGGGTCTAACTTCATTCTTTTGCATGTGGTGTGCTGTCCCAGCACCATTTGTTGAAAAAACTGATCTTTCCCCCATTGAATTGTCTTGACACCTTTGTCAAAAATGAATTGGCTTGAAACATAACAGTGTATTTCTGGACCCTGAATTCTATTCCATTATACTATATGTCTATTTTTATGTTAGTACCACTGTTGTTTTGATTGCTGTAGAGTTGTGTTAAGTTTTGAAATTAAGAAGTATGAGTTCTCTAACTTTGTTCTTTTTCAAGATCACTTTGGCTATTTTGAGTCCCTTGAATTTTCATATGGATTTTAGGATCAGCTTGTCAGTTTCTACACACACACACACACACACACACACACACACACAGAGCACCATTTGAGATTTTGACAGGGATTGCATTGAATCTGTAGATCAGTTTGGTTGGATACTATTGCCATCTTAACAATATTAAGTCTTCTGATCCATGAACATGGATGTCTTTCTATTTGTTTAGGGTTTTTTTTTATTTTTTTCAACAGTATTTTGTAGTTTTTAGTGTATAAGTTCTGTACTGCTTTTGTTAAATTAATTTCAAAATATCTCTCATTCTTTTTATTATATTGCTGGACTTCTTTTCTTAATTTCATTTTCAGAGTATTTATTGCTAATGTATAGAAATACAATTGAGTTTTGAATATTGATCTTGTATCCTGCAAGCTTACTAAACTAGTTTATTAGTTTTAATAGTTTACTTGTGTTTGTGTATTACTTAGGATTTTTTATACACAAGATTATGTCATTTGCAAATAGAAATAATTTTACCTTTTCCTTTCTAATCTGGATGTCTTTTATTTCATTTGCTTGACTAATTGCCCTAGGTAGAACTTCCAGTACAAGGCTGAATAGAAATGGCAAGAGTGGGTATTATTATCTTATTCCTGATCTTAGGGAGAAAGCTTTCGATCTCTTACCATTAATTATGATGTTAGTTATGGTTTTTCCATAGATGCCTTTTATAAGGTTGGGGCATTTCCCTCGATTCCTAATTTGTTGAATGATTTTATCATGAAGGGGTTTGGGATTTTATTTACATATATACTCTTTTGGATTTTGTTTTTTCACTTAACAATATATCCTGGGAATCACTCCAAATCAGTTCATAGGGATTTTTACCCAATTTTTTTAAACAATAGTATAGTTCTCATGTGTATGTATATTCATCAGTAAAGTTAAATATAGTTTCAGGAAATCAACTTTCCAAATGGCCTTAAACATTCTTTAAGTCTTATAGATTCTATATAGCTGCCCTAAATATACCATATTTATCCATTATCACATTTGTCAGCTTCTATCTATTTCTACTCTTCATGTTAATAGGAGAGTACAAATTTATGAGTATGGCAAGAATACTCATTCCTTGCTTCTACTGCTCGATAATAATCCCCATAAAATTAAATACTGAAGTAGGAAATAAGGATACAGTGAGTTATATTGATTTTTAAAAATTCAACCCCCAAAATCTTAATTCAGTACATCCTGTAAGTTAGGTTCATCAGATAATACTGAGGAACAATTCATGCTCTTAAGGAACTTATAGACCAGTGTATATAAGGCTGACAGACTCACAAAGGGTTTAAGCTCAAGGTATAAAAGAGGTTCAACAAGCTATAGAAGAAATTTAAAGAAAAGAGAGGTCACATCTGGGGAACCAGGAAGGGCAGCCTAGAGAGGGGGCATTTGGGAAAACCCAAAGGATGAGCTTTTTGACAGGCAGAGAGAACAGCTTCAGATAACACAGGCATGGAAACAAGAGAGGGCAGATGGGTACTAGATAAAAATGAGGAGCCCAGCTTGACCATCACTGGTGGTTTTCATACATAGTTGACATAGGAATTCTCTATTCAATTACTTTAATCTTGTAAAGAATACCAGTATATAAAACAAATATAAGTGGAGTTGTTCTTGTTGAAATGGAGATTGAGAGGATTATGAGTCACTCCTTAAGATCTATTCAAGAAGCAAATGTTGAAAGTCACTGGATAGGGCACGGGGCATGGGTGTAAAGACATTAGGGATATCTATATCAATATTGGTATCATTATAGGTATATGGATATATTTATATATGAATATATAGTAATATATTCATATATAGAAATATGTGTGTGTGTATGTGTGTGTCTGCTTATATGCTTTCCTATAAGTGTGGGACAGAAAGATGGCTGATGGTATAATAAGAAGGAATAACGATGGAGACAATGAAAAGGAACAAGAGGAAATGAGAGAAGGGAGGAGGGAAGGAAAAAGACAGAGAGACAGGAAGGAAACAAAATTGTGCATTTCTACCAAAGCCAAAAGAGGGGAATGTTTCAAGAAGAAATGAGTCACCAAATAAGATGTACAGATGGTAAATAAGCACAGAAAAAAAGTGCTCATCACCATTAGTTATTAGAAAAATGCAAATTAAAACCTCAATGAGAAACTACTACCCACCCATGAGAATGGTTAAAATTTAAAAGACGGGCTGTTTTGAATGTTGGCAGGGATGTGAAAGGTATGGAATTCACATACACTGCTGAGGGAAATGTAAAATGGTCAATCACTTTTAAAGACAGTTTGACAGTTTCTTAAAAAGTTAAACATACACTTACCATATGATCCAGCCATTCTACTCCTAGGTATTTACTCAAGAGAAATGGAAACCCATGTTCATACAAAAACATACACAGATGTTTATTTAAAATAGCCAAGAACTGGAAATAACCCAAATGTCCCTCATCAGGTGAATAGATGAACAAAGTGTGGTACATCCATACAATGGAATACTACTCAGCAATACACACAAATGAATTATTGAGATATGCAACAATATGGGTGAAGCCATACAAAAAAAGAGTACATACTGCATGACTCCATTTACATAAAATTTAGGAAATGCATTCTAATCTATAGTTGCAGAAAGCAGAGAGCAGTGGTTGCTTGAGGAAGAGGGCTGGATGGGAGGGATGGTCATTATTTTGATTGCAGAGTTGTTTTCATAGTTGTATACGTAGGCCAAAACTTTCTAATTGTACACTTCAAATATATGCTGTTTATTAAATGTCAGTTATATGTCAATGAAACTATTGTTTTTAAAAGAAGAGGGGGAAAAAATAACAAGTTGAAAGTTGATAGAGTTAAATGTAGAGGGAGGAACCAGAAGAGCAGGGATGAAGATGAGGTCATTTGACATCCTCAAAAGCTCATTGCCAACTGAGAGAGAAGTTCTAATGGGGCTGAAAGCAAGACTTGCTTGAAAGCAAGACTGTCCAGAGTTAAGGACTGAGAGGGTGATAGACGTATAGAAGCAGTGTGTGTTTACTGCTCCTGCATCAGTCCACCTATGTTGCCACAACAAAATACCACAGAAAAGTTTTTCTTCCACACCCTCCCTTCCCCTGCCCTTTATCGTTACATTGTGCATGACAGCATATATAACCCACCTCCATTTGCTTATGCTGAACCACAATGAGTACCCTGCCTCGGTTTTTCAGACCTTGCAGCCATGAAATCTACCGGCAGTATTTCTTAACAGGCCACTCTACACAGAGCACTCCAACTAGCTAACTTGTAGAATGGAGAACTTTTTTCAGGGCAATTTAGACAACTGCACTTTATTCTGGAAAATAGTTACACTTACTCCCTCACCCTTAGATTGTACAAAATCTCTTTTCCCTTCCTTTTCTTACTCTCTCCTCTTCTCCCCTCGGTTTCCCTTCTCTTCTCTCCCTTCTACTCCAACCCATCCCCACCCCACATACTCAAGCATTTACATGTGTTTGGGGTCAGTTGCAGCTGTGAGATAATTTCACAGCGAGTACTACAGAGCTTACAAATCCAACAAACTTAATAATTCCATTCTCTTCGGTTTAAAACATTTTAGGAAACAAGTTCAGATCTGAGAAATCATGGTGGAATGGGTCCAGCCAGAAAAAGAAATTCCGGAATTGTGAATGGCATAGACAACTTGCAGTTAGCCCCAACTCCTAAAGTTCCAGACACCCTCACTCATCCTTCGGAAAGATTCCAGGCTACCAAAAGGTACTTCACTAGGGATTTGTTTAAAATAACAAAAGTGTTCTCTTTTAAATCAATTAATAACATAGTATTTTGGTATTGAAGGATGCCTAAGTTCCCAAAGTGACTAGCACGTGTTTAATTTTTAAGACCTTGTGATGAAGACCTTGTATGAACACTAAGTAGGCTCAACTTCTTCCAATATACAGTTTATGAAAGACAATTATCAATGGTTCCTTACTTCAACCCCTTTTCTCCTCTCTTCTCCTTTTTCCTCCTTTCTCTTTGTCTTCCCTCTCTCTATATTTTTCAAATATAGACAGAACACAAGGATCTCGGCCTCTCCAAACTTTCCGTGTTTATCTTAAACTGAAAAACACAGAACTAACCTTACTATTCAAGGGTTTTACTATTGCTTAGAATAATATGGTGCTGCATTATCAGAAAGGCACAGCCTCTACAGAGAGATGGCTGTAAATCAGGGAAGTCCTATTATGTCTTGACCTCTTTTCACTAAGACAGAGAGAGATATTTGTATTTGATAATAAATATTCTGACTATTTCCAATGATAGCTTAATTCTGAAAGATTTTAAATGGAAAAAATAATAAGCAAAACTGCTCTATTACCCAAGATGCCATTAATTTGACACGTGGCCAGAGTTCGAATAGAGTTCACAGTCCTAACATGTGGGTGGAACATTTAAGACCAATATGTCTAGCCAAGAGGACCCTTGAGAGTCCTCTTCAGTCTAGGGACCCCTGCAGTAGAGGCCAGGAGGGCACAAAGGGACCTAGGTAGTAAAAACACCGAGCCAGGCAACGAAGTTTGGAACAGAGGAGGGATTGCTGACACATGCTTCAGGCACATGGGAGCCCCAAGGAGGGTGGGGACACATCAGCATCCCCAGTGGCTATAACTGTAAACATTTGAAGAAGATGAAAAGCATGGAGACAGAGCTACCAGCTCTTCTGTTGCAAGGCCCAGTATCATCCCCAGGTATACCTGTCCTCCAGCAAGCTATTGAGTTGTCTTTTTATAATATGTCCACTTACTTGCTGCCTTGGGCTCAGATGTCTCTGTTCACTTGTCAGGGCGCCAGAGGCTTTTGTGTCTATTCAACTAGAAAAGGTGGGGCTGCGGGACATGATGCTGAACGCCTTCCTCCTCAGGAAACAAACGTTGGCTGACAGAATGAAGAACCATGTGAGTTTAGTGAGAAGGACACATTAAATGAGTATAAAGCTCTCATTGTGTTTTACATTTGAGCAAATAAAAATTCTTCACTTGTAATCTGTTGCTTTCAGCCTATTTGGATAGGACTATTGAAAATATAAAGAACTATAAAAAGGGAATTCAATAAGAAATAGAGAGGAAGTAATTCAAGGTAATTGCAGTCTACTTTTAAAAATATGTACACTTTTCCAAGACCACATGTTATTTTGTCACTTTCTAAACACAACTAGTTTCAACACCTGCTCTGGAACATTAGCCCACTCCTGAATAACCCACAGGTGTTCAGGGGTTTAGACAGGTGAGCAAGGGCTCTTACTATCGAATTTATGTGTTATCTGGTTTTCCAGATGCTAATGCATGTTTTTATTTAAGGGTTTTATGCTAGCATAATCTATTGGAAAATATTATAAAATTTAAGCCTTTAATCAGTTAAAAGTATTGCTTAATTTTGTGAATATCATTTCATTACTCATTAATGTTTTTGAGGAGGAAGTCATTAGACTAATATATAGTTATTCGGGAGATAAATCACAAGTCTACAACTCTAAGCTTTTTCCCTATCTGTGACTGAAAAGGAAAGACTTAAATTTCCCTAATCCAGTTCTACAAATGGGATGTAAGGGAGGCCAGACTTCTAGATTACTGCTGAGTAATAATGGAGGCAAAGGACTCCTTTTAATAAGTAATTGAGATATTCAATTGTCTTTTTTACTACAATATTCAAAAAATATTGACCAAGTGAAAAACGTTATAGCTCATTAACTGCTCTTCAGGATTATCCAATGCCTGTCAGATTAGAAGACACAAGACTCCTAGATCAGAGACAAAGAACTTTATGACTCACAGCAGAGCAAGTGACATGAGCTTCATGTTTCTATCAGTTCCCTCTGCCTCCCAAGTCCCAAGGGGGCAACATGGAGGAGCCTAGATTCATGCACTGGGTTTTTGTCACAACCAATGGGTTCATGACACTGAGCTTGAGTTGTCACAACTCATTGGGTTCATGACACTGAACTTGAGGAATCCACCTCTTTTTAAATGGCAAGCTTACTATTTTTCCTGGAGGGAGACATTCCCTTATCCCTCGAGGTTGCTCTTTACAAACAGAACCCTGAGAAATGGCCCAGGTAAAGACTAGTCAGGGTCTTGCATTCTTGGCATACTCAGCAAGGTCTACAAGAAGGAGAGAGAACCACAGAGGCTCACAGCAAGTTGGCCTTCAGAAAGAATATCTCAACCGCATGGGCTTTTCCTGCCTTAAGTTTGCTATAAGTATGTATACATGTACTAGGATGGAGAGTTTTTATAGCCAGCCTTCTAATAGAAGAACTGTCATTCTCTTTTATCGCAGGATGAAATTGGTAAAGTCAAGAGAGACGTTATAGTTGAATACTGTCAGAAGTAAGTATAGTATATATGAACAACATATGCTGATTTCTCTGACTGTGAAGTCAGTAAACTGCAGTGTTACACAGAAATCCAGACAATGAATCAGGTGGTTGGTTTTTAAATAAACACACAATTCTCTTGGGTAAAACCAAACCAAACTATCCTCTGACACACAGAAGAGCATCAGAAGCGAATGCCAGGAGGTGCTTTGAAGAGGTCCATGCCTCTGCCTTCAGGCAATAGCAACCTGACCCAGATAGAACTTTCTTCTGGATGAGGTCCTCTATTCTCTTTGAAAGGTCTTTCAGGGAAGTAGATCTTTCTGGGAATGACACAAAAACGTTGGTTCACCTTCTGGATATCATCTCTTCTGACTTTTCAGACTGAACTGCCGTATGTCTCACTATGCTCTTCGGGGTCAGATCATGGCATACTGCAATAGCCTGAGAGCCCTGCTGGAAGATTTCCCTGCTATCAGGGACACCTTTTTCATTGTGGGGCAACCACGAGAAAAGAAGGGGTTGAGAGACTCCAAGGAGGGCCTCAAGGCTGACCCCAGGTGTGTAAATTCCTTTAGAGCTTTTTACTCCCAGCGGCACCCCACCCCCCACCCCCACACACCCTATGCCTCCCAGGGAAGAAGGAAGAGACATGTTACATTTGGTATGGGAATTGCTTTCTTTACTGCATTTGACCTTGGTCTTTTGGTTCAGAAGGGCAGAAGAAAGAGCTAACACTCCAAGAATAACAGTATCTTTGTATTTGAACCCAGAACAAGTTCTGTGTTTATGGGCTATTTCACTGCTTTTTCAATCTATGTAGTTTTGTTTTCCCCTGGAGATCCCAGAGATTTTCACCAGTCACACCCTTTTACATAAGCCAGCATCTAAAATGAGCAAACAAATAAGTAAACTTGATCTTGAGCTGTCCTGGCTTCAAATATTTTACCCAATGGAGCAGAAGGAATAAGAAACACACCCCCACCCCCCCACCCCACACACACAACATTGATACCCCAGTGGCTTGGATAAATCTGTCCTTCTGTATTTCTCTTACAGAGAAAAAAAAATGCATGTAGAATGGTATTAAATGATAAGAGCAGAGCTGCTCCCATACTTCCTTTTCATGCCTTATCCAGTTTCTCAATTATTCTTAACTCACCTTGCCTAGAGTTCACTCAAGTAGATGGAGGAGTTAGCATACCTGTGCAGTCAGCAACCACATTTCCTTTAAAAAAAAAAAAAGGTGGGGGGTATTACACGGTTATGCAGCCTCCAAGGGGGAGCAAAACATCCTGTAGGGTAAGTTTGTTTCCTCCTTACTCTTTCCCATAAGGTACAGAGCTTAGTGCCAAGTAATAGTGATATTCAACAAATAGGATCATAGAACAGACAGATGAAAGGGAATTGAAAGAACATTTGTATCAGACCACTCTTTCGCTCACGTATTTCTTCATGCATTATTTAACTACTACTTATTTAGTGCTTACTTAGTACCAGACATTTCACCATGTGCCAGGGTTACGAAGGTGAGTAAGTCACGGACTCTGGCAGTAAATTCAGTCTAGTGGGGAAAAGCTCTGTGAACAAAAAAGTAACTTCAAAGATTTTAAAGATAACCTGCTAGAGTTATGCGAAATGTTCTGTGAGGACGCACAAGAGGGAGTGTTTAACTGTAGCCCAGGGCCTCAGGGAGAAATTCAAAGAGGAGGTGACAGGGCGCCTGGGTGGCGCAGTCGGTTAAGCGTCCGACTTCAGCCAGGTCACGATCTCGCGGTCCCTGAGTTCGAGCCCCGCGTCAGGCTCTGGGCTGATGGCTCGGAGCCTGGAGCCTGTTTCCGATTCTGTGTCTCCCTCTCTCTCTGCCCCTCCCCTGTTCATGCTCTGTCTCTCTCTCTGTCCCAAAAATAAATAAAAACGTGGGGAAAAAAAATTAAAAAAAAAAAAAGAGGAGGTGACAGGTAAGTTGGAACTCACCAAAAAAGAGGGAGGAATGGTAGAACAGGCTAGAGAGCACTGGAGAAGGAACAAACTTGAGTTTGTAAGCCCTTGACTGACTGACAGCTGGCTACCAAAATAGCGACCAGGCCTACCTTATACTTATAAGGCACCCAGTTTGTGGATACCAGTGTTTGTCCCATGAGCTCAGCCAGTGCATTCACCTGGGTAGACTTGAGGATTTACCTAATGGAAGAATGCATTTAAGGGAGGGGTAGGGCAAATATACCTCAGCAGACTGACTATTTTGCTGAAGGGTTTGACTGGGCACCTGTTTCCCAATGAGGCTGAAGTGTCTTTCTCTCATATGAAAGATCACAGGACAATCCCCTAAGATTTCTTAGTTTCATTATTTCATCTACCCACTAGCCAAGGAAGCCATTTGTAAGCCTAATCTATGTTTGGGATCAAATTTTTAAAATAGTTTCCAGAACTCTAACCACAAGTTCACTACATTTGTGTTTAGGAAGTCTGTTTTTGTTTCTGATCTGTTTTATTTGAAGCAACCAAATGAGGTCAGGAAGTAGAAAAGAAAAAAAAAATCTCTCTAACTTGCAGGTCTTGCTCTATTCCTTTATTGCTTATTTTAGATGACTGTGTGTTTCCTAAAGATTAGGGGAAACAGTCATTTAAGGGGGAATGAGCCTAGCCAGTTAGTGTGTGGTAATTTCATGGCAGGGTTTTGGTCAATAAAAGTGTGAGCAAAGTGAGCACACACCCAGAGTCCAAGTCCTAGTCAGGCAGTGGATGAGCAGTGACTGATAATGATTCAGTATTTTTCCACTATACCTGTGTCCTGCTCCCTAAACTATCTAGACTTTAACATGTCCCTTTTACTGCACCTCAGAAAATGGAGCAATAGAGAAAGGAACTTCTGTCTTTTGTGGAAGTTTTGTAAACTTGAAGTAGTATAGAAGATTATTTCTAACTCCAAAGTCTGTGGTTCCAAGTACTGAGTATTCATAAAAATGGACATCAGCCACAAGGAGGTAGAGAGAACCATGGCCTGGGAGTTAGAATATTTAGGCTTTACCCAGCTTAGTCATAAGGTGCCCTGATGTCTCAGGCAAATTGCTTCTCTTCAATCTCTGAACCTCAAACTCTTCTTCTGATGAGTGAGGAAATGGAAGCAGCTCTCTGAAGTTAAACATGCTAAGATCTTTAGTGTTAGGGTGTCTAGAGGTTGATTCCAAGGAATGGAACTGCTATGTAAAGACTTCCCAGAAAGGGACCATTGAAGAAAGTTCATGAAATGATAGATGGGGATCACCCCAGGGCAAGTTTAACTAGAGATGTCCCCAGGACAGGGTTGGGGAATGAGGGTCATGGAAGACAGAGGTCCTCACTCACTGCATTCCTAAAATATGGAGTTGGATTAGGTGGAAGATAAAAAATAAGTTTTCTTTTAAATATCAGTTCTAACAATTAATGCCCTGCTGAGGATTCTGAGATGTTCCAAGCTTATGAGAGTGTTGTAATTGATTGGCGATGTCTGCCATGGCCAAAGACAAGGGAAAGGTGGCTTCCCTGCTTGTGTTTGCCATCCCTTACCCAGAAGAACCCCATGCATTTGGTAGGTTTAAAATTCTAAGACGCTACCTAATCCTTTAAAGGCTGTAATGTACTGTGTTTAGTTTTAACAAAGACTACCATATCCTCAAACCAAAGTCTCTCTAGAAGAGGAGCCAGAGGGAGTTCTCTTCCCAAGAAAGATGTCCGTTGAGGGCTCCTTGCTCTTCATGGCTCCAGAAGAGACTAGAATCTGGATACTGGGATGATGCTTGGCCACTCTCCAAGAGCAGTTGGCTGATGGAGGAGTGAAGAAGGGAGAGAGAGAATACTAACATTAATCGAACCCTTACTGTGTGACAGGTAGAGCCACCATGATCCCATATGGTGCTTTATGGACATTAGAAGAAGGCACTCCTTCTTCTGGGCAGGGTGTAGAGCTTGGCAAGCAAAAGATAGGCTGGATATTGACCACTGCTAGCTGCCTCAGGATACAACCTGAACAGCAGTACATGGCAACCTTGGTGCCAAGTGCTGTACAGCAATGGATAGACATGGTTCTTGCCCTTCAGACAAGGGGAAATAGGTAATTACAGTACACTGTGATAAAGAATAAGATATGATAAGAGTATAATGAAAGTATCCATCAGGAAATGTTCAGTGTTATCTAAAGGATTGGGGAGGTGGGGATGGGGAGCAAGGCAGGCTGCAGGGAAACGGGGATACTAAACCTGGGTCTTTAAGGGTGGTTGGTGTTTCAAGTGGACAAGGAAAAGAACTTCAATTCAAGCTGGGAGAAAGCACAGAGAGGTGGACTCTTGAGTGGCTCCCACCCAGGGTATGGGAGGATGAGCAATGGGAAGTAAAATGTACAGAACAATGGGCAAGATCCAGAAGTCTGGTGTTTGTCTTTCAACAACAGGAAAAAGGGGAGCAAGCTACTGACACTGTACAGACAGGAGATGTTTAGGAGGTGAAATCAGTTGGCCAGGTGCTGGATTTATGGGAGGCTAAAGGAAAAGGAGGAATCTAGGGTGTCACCCAGAGTCTCTGACTTGGGAAAAAAAAAAAAAAGATGGCAGTACAATTATTATTTAATTGGTACAGAGTTGCCATTTTGGAGGATAGAAAAAAGTTCTGAAGATGATGGTGATGATAGTCACACAACAACGTGAATGTACTTAATGCCACTGAACTGTACCCTTAAAAATGGTTACAATGACCAATTTTATGTTATGTATATTTTGCCACAATTTCTTTAAATGGGGAAAAAATGTCAGTGCCATTAAGAAGAAGAAATGTGGAGAGGGAGATAATGAATCACAGCTCAGAAGCCTCAGCTGTGAATTCGTCCAATAATCTCCCACTAGGTCTCAGATACTTCCTATTCTGGATGTTCACTGCACTTTCTTATACAGTTGACCCTTGAACAACACAAGTTTGAATGCAAGGGTCCGGTTATACATGGATTTAAAAAAATTTTTTTTAACGTTTATTTATTTTTGAGACAGAGAGAGACAGAGCATGAACGGGGGAGGGTCAGAGAGAGGGAGACACAGAATCTGAAACAGGCTCCAGGCTCTGAGCAGTCAGCACAGAGCCCGATGCGGGGCTCCAACTCATGGACCGCGAAATCATGACCTGAGCCGAAGCTGGCCGCTCAACCGACTGAGCCACCCAGGCGCCCCTATACATGGATTTTTAATAAATATATTAGAGTATTATAAATTTATTTCCTCTTCTTTATGATTTCCTTAACATTTTTTCTTTCTCTTCCTTTGTTATACAAATATAGTATATAATACATATGACATACACAATATGTGTTCATTGACTGTTGATGTATCAGTGAGGTTTCTGATCAATAATAGGCTATTAGTAGTTAAGTTTTGGAGCAAAGCTGTGCACAGATTTTCACCTTTGAGGTGGGTCAGAACCCCTAACCCCTGTGTTGCTTAAGGGTCAAGTGTACTTCCATTACACCATGCTTCTATCATAAATCATGCTTGCATATCTAGCTGCCTCAGAAATGTAAGAACCTTGAGGGCAGCGGCTGCCTTCATTTCATATCCCAGGTGTGTACCTCCACCTTTGACGGGAGGATGGGGGTGGGGAGGGGCCCACAGGAAGTAGGGGGGGTTCCAGCCAGTAGCCTTTAATTCAATTATGTAATAACAGACCTTGTCACCATCTGCTGGCAGGAGTTTGGTATGAGGCTGAAAGAAGACTTGGAATTATTAGAAAAGGAAATGGGCATAAAAGCTGATCAAAAGAAAGAATAAGGGTTGTCCTGGGGTGACACTGTTCAGGCTGGAAACCATTTACTTGTTGTTGTATCAGTGCAATTAGTGGTATGATCTCCTCCAGCTGTGCTCAGCAGCATGCAACTGGAAGCAGAAAGCATAATAGCTGGTGAGATTCAGAGTTGGGGTTTTGCTAGGTAGCTGGGTAGTGAGTACAAAGAAGTAGAGACTGGAAGGTTCCTGTGCTCGACTGCAAGACCCAGTCTGGGCAGGGAAGGGAGAGAATTCAAAATGGAACTGACAGATGGAAGAGCTGAGGGAAGGACCAAAGGGCTGGATGACATCACGGAGCATATGTTGGGGGGATAAAGGAGGTTTATTGAGAGTGAGTGAGTGAAAAAACAGGGATAAAAGGTTGATATGGGAACTTAGGATGTTGAGTTTAAGTCTTTGGAGGTGATGTGGTCCCAAGTAACGACAAGGTCTGGAATGTGGCCCCCAAGTGAGTGGCTAAAGGAGAATTAAGTTTAAGGGGGATGATATTGAGCAGGTCAAGGAACTGGCAGGCTGGGGAATTGAAGGGTCATCTACGAGTAAGGGGAGGAATCCTCCTTGTAGGGCTGAAAACCAGGCTAAACTCCTGAACTTTGCAACCAAAACTTCCTGCTACTCTCTCTGCCCTTCCTCAGCTGCAGGCAGGGGTGGAAATGGAAGGACATAGTGGATGAGAAGTACAGGATAACACTTGGAAGAGGGCCCTGCAGCTCCTGGGATCTATATGCTCCTCAGAGGCTAAGGACTGGTTCAGCCATGCTGCTGCTGCCAGCCCCTTGGCCTGCAACCTCTGTGTGCTCAGCCACAGGCCTGGTGACTTTTTATTGTTGATATTCAATGTTTCTTTGGGGCACCTTTGGACATTGTGAACTGAACAATAGAGATAAGACTGGATTACACTGGCTTTGATCTGCTGCAGGACAGGATAGTCTGACTTTGTGGTTGCTGAAATAAGGGAAATTCTCCAAACTAACACCATCCTTTGTTCCCAAGCTTCAAATTACCTGATTAAAACGCTGAGACTTGAAAGGTAGGTTTAAAGCCAATGATTCACCTCACGTAGAGTTGTAATGATTTTAAAAGTCTCATACTCAGAATGTTTGATATTGAAAACATTCAGCCCTCAGGTAAAATGAATTACATTTTACTTCAGTAAGTGGAAGGGGTCATCTGAATCTCTCCCAGCGACCCAGAAACGGTAACAGGAGCCAAAAACCACCCCTATGGTTTCCAAAATGTCCCATAGAAGGTGAGACCCTCCCACTGAGAGTCCTTGCTATCGACAATGGAAGTGGGAATGAAAATCAGGTACAAGTATGAGGGGATCATGAAATCAGTAGGACCTGAGGAGTAAAGGAGGAGGGAGGGTCTAAAAATGACTCCTTGATTTCTGGTTTTTGGGACTGGGGGTTGTGGTTCTTTTAACATGGGAGGAGACACAGGACTGGGGTGGAAGAGGGTAAGGAGTTCAGTTCTTGCTTTTTTTTTGCTTGAGATGACCTGAAGCACTGCCAGCCAAAAGGAAGCAAGTTGGAAGCCTGGAGCTGTGGAGGGGACCAGGTGTGCAAATGTGAAGTCAGATGTCACTGGCGAATAGATGGTGGTTTTGGCCAGAAGAGTGAACACAGCTGTCCAGGACTAGGGGGAGAGTAGAAGGCTGAGGTGGACCCCAGGGGCCCTGGGCAGGGGACGATGTGAGGGTGGGGGCTCCACACCCACTGCACACCTCCTTCTGCTGTCTGTCTGTCTGTGAGGGCTGCCTTGTCTAGCGTAACCAAGACAGGCCTGAGGTGGCACTAGTCTCTGGCCTTTCCCTGTCACCCTCAATTCTACGACATCCTCTCATTAGCATGGACAGGTTCCTACTTCTTAACAAATAACCCTGGGGGTTCCTATGTGTCTCTCTACCAGGGCACAAGCATCCCTTGCTCCCCACCCAGCCTTGGCCACTGCTAGACAAACTTTATGTTATAATATAAATTATGATAACAAACTTTGTATAGCACCTCACAATTTATAAAATACTTTTCACATGCTTGGCACTCTTTTTTATCTTTAGTTTGTTTTTTGGTACTTAAAAAAAGTATTCCTTACACCAATCCTGTGAGTTAGGAATCATTATCCCCATTTTATGTATGAAAAGACTCAGATGGTAATTCATCTAAGGCCACACAGCTGTGGGTGATGGAAGTTGGTCTCAAAATGGGGTCCTCTGATGCTAGAACCCACACCTGTTAACTGCCCATAGCACCATTTTCACACCAGATGAACACAGTTAGGCATAAAGGCATCGAATCCATTCAAATGGGAAACCGCTCCCTCACCCCACCCTCTGTTACAGTGGGCCACTTAAGTCCTGAGATGATATAGAAACCAAGTCAAGATGCCAGCTTCCTCCAGTGGGTGTAATACAAAGATCACGAGCTTCCATTGGTATGAAGGTCGAAAACAGGCAAAACCCAACAAGATAATCTTTTAATGGTTTATTCACCTATGGTAAAACTACAAGGAAAAACTAGCATTGGTTAATGTAAAATTCAGGATGGTGATTTCTCAGAGGGCCATCAAAGGAGCTGACGACATTCTATTCCTCAGGCCAGGTAGTAGGTAGCTGGGCTTGTGTAAATTCTTAAACCAGACATACGTGAATTATGTGTTTGTACATAAACCTGCAACAAAGAGACAGCTATACTGCTGCCTACAAATAATAAGGTATTCGGAGGAAGAGGAGAGCACAGGAGGAAAAGAAGGAAAAGAAGGCAAGAGTCTGGAGAAAAACATGGCAGGCTAGGAAGGAAAATAGAGGCAGGTCTCTAGAGCCTGGATTCTAGACCCGGACAGATCTGCATTTAAATCTCAAACTTCATCTCTTAGGAGCTGGACAGGCAAGATCTCAGAGTGCCTCCGTTTCCTCATCTGTAAAAGAACAAAAGAGGTACATTCCAAGGTTGTCATAAGAATTAAGTGAGAAAACATGTAGCGCCTAGAATGATGTTAGCCACCTAATTCACGTTCTCCCTTTGCTTTCTTACCTCACCTCTCCCTCGCTCCGTGCCCACTCCTTCCGCCAGCACAGCTGAGTCTAAAAGCAGCCCCACTGCTCTTCTCCACAGTTATTTATAGCCAGGGCCACCTGTGAGCGGCCTGGAAAGGAGGCCTGCTGGCCCAGGCTCCGACGCCCGGCTCATGTGTCACCACAATCCAGACTCTGGCGCTGCGGCTGAAGGGCAGTGATATAAATAGTTCACGCTGGGGCCACCTCTTTTTTAGAGAGAAATGCTGTGCCTATCCAAACTTTCTTATAATGCTGCAGGAGTTTTCAGCCCCGGCCACGATGTTTGCTGTCTGCTGACGGGAAAGTCTTCCTCAATTTATGGTTCATACCCCATCCTTCTGAAGTGCTGGTTATGTTCAAAACTCTGCCAGAAAAGGTTTGTATTTTTTTTTTTAATGTGTACCACAATGAAAACTGGCTGAGTTTTTTGTTTTGTTGTTGTTGTTTTTTTGTTTTTTAATGTCTTGTGGTTAATAAGCACATCAATTTCAGAGAACATCTCTTGTTTTTTTTCCAGGGATATCTAATAACTGAAATCTTCACACGGCCCCCCAATATTCTTACCTGCTTTATTATTATTTCTCTTAGGCCTTATTATTTTCTGAGTTCTGTTTCTCCCTGGTCATTAATGAACACAATTCAAGCTTCCCACATTCCTTATTAATCCTCAATTTCCTCCCAAACCCTTCATGAAAACGCCACTCTGATGCCCTGAAGCTAATGACAGGTCGAGATCACAATCCTGGTAATCAGCCTATTTTTTGAGGGGTTGCTCTGTGTGCCTATCTTACTAGTAACCATTAAAAAAAAAAAGGAGTAGATCTAGAAATGCACAGGGCACTCATGTATTTACTAAGTACAGTGTTGAAAAATGGCAATTTGGAAACATTCTAATTTTTCTGTGTAAGTGAACACCTATTTAACAACCTAGGTTTCTTTCCCTTTCTTTCCCCATGCCCCAGCTTTATTGAGATATAACTAATAAATAAATTGTATATATTTAAAGTGTACAATATGACATATGTGTACAATGTGAAATGATTACCATAATTAATGAACATACCAATCACCTCACATAGTTACCTTCTTTTGTGTGTGGTAAGAACACTTACCTGCTCTGCTAACAACTTCCAGATATGCAATACATTATTATTAACTATAGGTACCATGCTGTACATTAGATCCTCAGAATTTATTCATCTTCTAACTGAAAATTTGTACCCTTTGACCAACACCTATCCATTTCCTACCCCTTGGTAACCACCTTTCTATGAGCTCAACTTATTGTTTTTTTAGATTCCATATATAAGTGAGATTGTACCATATGTGTCTTTCCTATCTGGCTTATTTTACTTACCATAATATTTTCCAGGTTCATCCATGTTGTTGCAAATGGCAGGGTTTCTTTTTTTGTTCATGTCTGAATAATATTTCTCTGTGTGTGTGTGTGTGTGTGTGTGTGTGTGTGTGTGCACACGCATGTGTGTGTTTCACATTTTTTATCCATTTATCCATCTACTGGGCACTTCAATTATTTCCATAGCTTGGCTGTTATGAGCAATGCCGCAATAGACATGAGAGTGTAGTAATCTCTTTGAGATACTGATTTTGGATACATACCCAGAAGTGAGAGGATCATATAGTAGTTGTACATGCCAAAGAATGAAACTGGACCCCTCACAAAATCTTTCACCTCTCACAAAAATTAAGTTGAAGTGGATTAGAGACTAAAAATAACATCAGAAACTCTCGGAGGAGAATGGGAAAAGCTCCTTGACATTGGTCTTGGTGATGACTTTTTGGATATAACACCAAAAGCATGGGCAACAAAAGCAAAAATAAATAAGCAGAACTACCCCCAAACTAAAAAGCTTCTGCTTAACAAAGGAAATAACAAAAATAAAAGGCAACTTACAGAATGGGAGAAATATTTGCAAACTATGTATCTGATAAGGGGGTAGTACCTAAAATATGTAAGGAACTCCACAACTAAACAACAATAAAATCTGATTTTAAAATGGGCAGAGGCCCTGAATAGATATTTTTCCAAAGAAGACCTACACATGGCCAATAGGCATATGAAAAGGTGCTCAACAGCACTACTCATCAGAGAGATGCAAATCAAAACCACAATGAGAGATCACCTCACACCTGTTAGGAGGGCCATTGTCAAAACACAAGAGACCACCAAGTGTTATCAAGGATGTGAAGAATAGGGAACACTTGTATACTGTGAATGGGAATGTAAGTTGGTACAGCCATGATGGAAAACAGTATGGAGGTTCCTCAAATAATTAAAAATACACCAACTCTTTCTTTCACTGGAGAATTTTATGTGTTTTTAAGATATACATAAAAATACTACCTTCTTTCAGTTAGATCATACGTTTCTACTTTTTCTTCACTTGAACATTAATATTTAAGATCCAGGGTTTAGGTTGCATGTTTTAAAAACATTGAAAAATGTCTATGCTTTGCTTATAGGTATTCCCTCAGGGCAATGTTGTCTGAATATGGGTTCCTGCTAGGAATTTATTTGTGATCCTCGTAACCTATCAGTGGTCATACAAACACATTGTGCTGTGTTCATGGTCACCGTGGTTTTATTTTTTTAATTTTTTTTTAACATTTATTTATTTATGAAACAGAGAGAGACAGAGCATGAACAGGGGAGGGTCAGAGAGGGAGACAGAATCTGAAACAGGCTCCGAGCTGTCAGCACAGAGCCTGATGCGGGGCTCGAACTCACGGACCGCGAGATCATGACCTGAGCCGAAGTCGGCCGCTTAACCGATTGAGCCACCCAGGCGCCCCTGGTCACCATGGTTTTAAACAAAGAGAAACACATTGCTTTAAATGCCTCACTCCAGGACTTACCTTGTCCAAAGGCATATACCCTGGTTCATGAATAGTTTTGTTGTTCTGTTTTTTAGATATTAACCTGTAATTATTATCCTATATTATATCGTGAAAATGTTTAACCAATATTCTTATTCAAAGATATTATCCCCATCAATGCTCATATATTTTTATATGTGTCTTAGAAACTTCTTAATATTTCTTTGTGTTGGTTATACCCACAGGCAGCTTTTCACGCCTTAAAGCTAACTCTACAGCTGATAGCCCCTCTCCATGACATTGTGGCCTACCTTTTCAGTTTTGCTAAACTTGGAAATTGCTCAACATGTGTTAAATTTCCTCTAAGTGCTAACCCTTTGAAAGGTGACTGGGGAGGAACTGAGGGCATTGGTAAGTGATTAAAGGTGATTCAAATCACCTTCAATATTTGCTTGAAATTCTATAAAGCTCTTCCTGCGCCCCCACCGCCCCAACTTTACTGCAGTATAATTGGCAAATAAAATTGTAAGCTATTTAAAGTGTACAATGTGATAACTTGATATGCTCACACATTGTAAAAAGATTTCTCCCATCTAGTTAATTAATATGAAGCTCTTAATACTTGGAAAGACAGAACTAAAATATTTTTTCATAAATGACAGTGAGAAGAAGGGCAAAGGGCAAAACGTCATAATATAGTGTCTCCAAACTAATTAATTCCACATTTATAGGCTAATCCATAAGGTAAAGCAAGTCAAGAGTGGCAAGCCTGGCTTTTTACCCTGTATCGGCCACTTGGTTACTGGAAACGGGACATTTTATTCTGTGGATCTTTGTCCATCTATAAAATTGGGATGATAATACCTGTTTCATGGAGATGTTCTGTGGATTAAAATCTCTGTAAAATTTCTACAAGAATGTACATCCCCCTACTGCACAATAGTTTTATTTCATTCCCTTTCTGGCCTATGTGAGCTAACATGTCAAGGTCAGAACCAAGCATTTATTGTCAAGAATTCTTGCAGACAGGGGCGCCTGGGTGGCGCAGTCGGTTAAGCGTCCGACTTCAGCCAGGTCACGATCTCGCGGTCCGGGAGTTCGAGCCCCGCGTCGGGCTCTGGGCTGATGGCTCAGAGCCTGGAGCCTGTTTCCGATTCTGTGTCTCCTTCTCTCTCTGCCCCTCCCCCCATTCATGCTCTGTCTCTCTCTGTCCCAAAAATAAATAAAAACGTTGAAAAAAAAATTAAAAAAAAAAAAAAAGAATTCTTGCAGACAGTCCTCTGTGAGCTAACAGTAGCCTGATGGTCCTGAATGATTGAGGCTTTAGTTTTATTTGCCAAGTGCTAATCCATAAACCCTAACTAAGCACTAAGTTCTAAGATGAATGCACAAGGTAAATTAAAGACTCTGAAATGCTTAGTAAGCTGGGTTAATCAAAAGTAGGGAAACTGATCTTGTTATTTGAATAATTTGACTCCCAGTCAAATTATGTCATTAGTTAATGTAAATGTGATAACATATTATAACAGAGTAGCTAAGGATTTTAATATTTTTTGACGTTTATTTTTGAGAGACTGAGAGAGAGCACGAGCAGGAGAGGGGCAAAGAGAGAGGGAGACACAGAATCGGAAGCAGGCTCCAGGCTCTGAGCTGTCAGCGCAGAGCCTGCCGCATGGGTTCATTCAAACCCATGAACCGTGAGATCATGACCTGAGCTGAAGTCAGACGCTTAACCCCATGTAGCCAAGGATTTTAAAGGATGAGAAGAGCCAACAAAATGAGCTAATAATATGCCTATTCTAACCTAGTGGTCTTCAAACAAGTGTAACATACTCTGAATCTATTCCTCTCTGGCCAGTGTATAAAGGAAATATGTTTGTGGGAGACCCTGACTTGTTTGCTGGTAGATTTGCATTGCGCTAATGAGCATGGAAGGAATCTGTAAACATTCAGATAGGAGACCCTAGGGGAGCGTATGAGTGGTGATCCTGGAGGAAGATTGATGCCTGTATCTGAGGACAGGCAGCATGAAGAAGGGATGGATTGGTGCTGACTCAGCAGAAAACACAGAATTTTCACAGGCTAATGAGATTGCAAAACTACTAGCAAATCTTCCATGTAAGAATCAAGAGAAGAAAGAAGTTCCAAAGCATGCTTAGAGCCTTTCCTTTTACTAATTCGGGGACTGTTATAAAAGGGGTTTACTCAGAAAATAAACTAAGACACTCTTAGAGGAGCTGCTAGATTTGGGGAGGGTATGGGGACCGGGCTTTAGATGAGGGACAGGAGAAAGTATGCCATCCCTGTCCTTGAGACACACGGAGATGAGATAGAAGCCTAGATAGAGCCAGAGTCATCTTTCCATAGAGGCTGCATAGGAACTTCTACAGCAGCTGGGAGGGCGGAGCCTGCGGGGAAGGTGATGTGGGGGGTACTTGCCCTCACTAGAATCAATGGAGAAGACTAGGAGGGATGGTCCTGGTAAGACAAGAAAAGGACTCTGGCAAAGGTGACAGGCAGACTGCACATGGCCAGTCCAGAGAATGGCGTACCTAGTGGTGTGACACTGAGGAACAGTAGGAAATGAGGCCAAATTGTTGAGGACCTGGAATTCAGGATGAAGGAAATTGGTTTCTTACTATTTATATGCTTATGAACCAGAAACCATTGAAACATGTGGGGCCCAGGCTTTCCAAGGTGTGCAATTAGAGGCATGCACCCTGTCATGTTGCCAGCAAAAACATTTGTGCTCCAGGGAGAATGTGCAAAGTTTTGCATACTCTGCTGAAAATAGATAAAGAGCAAACTGAACTAAAAAAAGAAAAATCCCACTCTGTGATAATCATCTTTTTAAAAAGCCTAGGTTGCTCAGTTCCTGGCCTGCTTCCCAGAGGAGACAAGGAGAGCTAAGGTGAAAAGAGATGGGTCTGTTCATATCCTTGCCCACCTCCTCTTGGCTATTGCCAAGCTATTTGGAGTTTGACTTTTGTGGGCTCATATGCTTTAAAATAATTTTTAAGGGGACCCTCCAGATCTCAGCTTTGGCCCTGCCATTTGACTGAGGAAGCAGCTCTTAGACACTGTGCACCAGCTCTGTGGACCTGCCCAATCCTTTCCTTCCCTGAAAGTCAGCAACTCCCTTTGGAGTCAGCAGAGGATGTAATCAGCCTGTGGGAGTTTACACTGTGATTTCCTTGTAAAGGTTTAGGAGGCCAATTAAAGCCCAAATACTGTCCACTAAACTTAGAGTTTCAGGAACTCTAGAGACAATCTGAGAACAAAGTGTGCTGGCTCTGAGTATTCACATGGAGACAGGGCCACTATGATTTCGACCTCACCCCTCCCCCTGCCCCCACTTCTCTCTCTCTCTGATTTCCCAAATAGGACCCTCCTGGGGAAGTCTCATTTGTTTCCTGATGTTTCCTGGCTCAGGGTCTCCTCCCAACCCCACCACCACAACTACATGGTAACCATCTGCCCCATCCTCACAGTCAGGCTTTCTGCCCTGCCCACCAGCCACCTCCCCTCCCACCAAGCAGCTGCTTGATGCCATGAGGCAAGGGAAGCCTAAATGAGGATGGTAAAGTCAGTTAATAACAAAGAAAAGGTAGTCCCTACCTCTGCATCTGTGTTTTAATGATAATACTACCTATCAACAGAACACTTTTGCTGGGAAGTGATCATATAAACATGCACACACATCACGTATATGAACAACAATGGAAATAATGAAAGAGAACGATTACCTGCAATCCAACCATTCTAACAAGTGAGATATTTTTATTTACCTTTACTGCCTTCTAGCCCTTGTCCAAACACACTTTACATTTCACAGAGCTTTAATCACGGGGTATATGCAACTTTATATTCCTTTTTCATTGTCATGGCAGAGGATTATAAACCATTCCCCCCTGGTTGCCGCTTCACCTGACAGCATGTAATGCTTGCAGACCGTCCCACTAGGCCTTGAACAAATAAGGTTCACTGATTACCACTAAATAGGGCTTCCATCCACCACCAAAATTCTTGTGCAGTTCACTCTAACATGACCCCTCTTCTGGAGGAAGTTTCTTTTCAGTCCGATATGACCATCAGATTTATAGAGGAGTCATAAAAATTTTGGTGATTGGGTCCAATTTTGCAGCGGCTGGAAAAGTACCTAAAAACCATTTTTCTCTTCTTTGTAAAGCATCAAATGGATATGAAATCTGGACTTCTCATGTTTTCCTAAAGCCAAAAGCATATATCACAAGTGTTGGCAACTATTCTCAGTCCTGGTTCTGCCCTGGTCAGGCTCTCATGGACAGCTTCCCCATTCCCTCAATTCCTCTTTCATCTAGAAATGTGGGAAGAAATCCCATGCCAGGACAGATAGGGTAGAAGGCTGCTCAAGACTGGACAAGCTATTGAGAGAGTAACTCTGCAAATGCCCCATGAATATCCCATCTGTCTTCTGCCTTGGGCTACATATCAGGCACAGAGATCAGTTTCCATAGTCTTCTTCCCATAACTGTGATGTCCTCTCAACTAGAAAGCTATCACTGTCCTCACTGGGAGTTGGCGAACATGTCAGATCAGCTGACATTCCAATAGCCCTGGAAGTGTGGGCCCACCTACTACCCTACTAGTGCTCCCTAAGGACTCATCATTTTCTTGCTTTGCTCTCCCATTCTGACTAACTCCTCTCCTGGGCCAATAATAGAGATGCCATTAAGTCATCTATACCCAGGCCAGTTTCTTCAACCCAGTACTGAGTGTTGCAAAAGGTCCCTAACTTAGATTTCCATTCAAAACACATGAAAGTCTACTTATGTCCAGTCCACTTTTGCAGTAAGGATCCAAAAAACAAATCAGTTTAGGATCTCTCACACCTCCTAAAATGATGATAATCTCCTAGAAGAAGGTGTGTGTGCGTGTGTGATGTGTGTGCACACATGCACACATATGGGTGTGCATATCTCTTGCTTGCCTTAGATGGTCTTGAGTATTCTTTAATCCATGAGCCAGTGAGAGAATGAGCCAGTGACAGAGAGGCTGATTTGTATGGCATGGTTGTGGGAAATGAATGCTGGTTTGTAATCTATAATAACTTCAAGCCCCTAACAGCTCTACTGAGACCTATATTTTCCCATTCCTTGTCATTCTTTTATTCAGTCTAGAGGCTATAGCCTTGTAAAATTTAAAACTTTCATTCAACAGCATGTTCTTATTCTGAAAAGCAAAGCAAATTTTTATCTTATTGAGGGAGGAAGGAAGGAAGGGAAGATAAATCAGACCTTGGGCTCTACAATATAACTTTGCTAGTCTTGCAAAACATATAATTAGCACGTTCACAAACAAAGAGAAGTACATTTAGGTAAAAAGTAAGCTTTGGAGGTGAATGATGGCTCATTAGGTTAGCCACGGTAGCCTGTAGGTCACACTATCTGACGAAAATGTCATCCGTCTTCCAGGGTCTGAGCTTCAAGAACTGCAGAAAATGATTGACAGCCTCCAGAGCCCCCAGGACCCTGCCCACGTGTCCCAGGCACTCCTCCTTCGAAGGGAGGTTATATTTTTGCAGTTTGATGCTGCGGTGCGGCACCTCATCCGGTAAGGGCTGGAGCGCCGGATCCTGTCCAGTTCATTGTGTAGGGCAGGTGCTTCTGAGCGACCACTGGGGGAGGCCACTCTTGGCAAGATTGAATACCGAGCTTAAAATAGGGCACAACCTGAGCCAGAGCACTGTGGCTACCGAAAGCATTCTGCTGCAAAGGCTGTCCAAGCAGCATGTGTTCTTGTCCGATCATAATATTCTCAATGTTATTAAATGTGCCTTAAATACAGTTAGTTTGCACAACCATCACTGCTTTCAATGTTCAGGCTGTTGAATTGGGAATGATGTTTTTCATACCTCTGAAGATGATTCTAAGAGTTTTGTTTATGTTTTTCAGCCCTTAATCACCTTTCAAAAGAACAGAATTTTCACTGCACGTGTGAAGCCAGTGGAACTGGCTGAGTTAAATTTATAAATTCAAATAAATAAATTGTGGGTATTAAGTGTTCTGCATACAAAAAAGAATGTCTATCTGGTTAATTAATCATGACTGATGAGAAAATTAGTTGGGACTGAAAGTCACACTGTTTCTAGGATAAATAATAAGTTTTGTATGGGAAGGGAAGAGGTCAGGCCTAAGGGTCTCTGCTTACTCTTAAATCGTCAATATCAATTAACTTCCTTTGATTAATTCCCAGTATAAGTATTTAGCCAAGGAGGAAGACCTCAGGAGGCTGTGCTCTTACCTGTGGATTATAATCACATTTCACTGCTAGCATGGGTATCCATAGAGGATGTAAATGTAGGGTTTGAACTGAACTGTATTTTCTCTTCCTATTCTGCATTTTCTTTACTCTGAGCATCAAGGATCTCTGGATTCAAATTAATTCAGCAGAAGAAAACAATTGGATGAATTGATTTCTTTTTTATTGATAAACAACTTTCTGAGCTGTAGCTTAGTTGAGCAGGTAGAATATAAAGGCTCCAATTTTTTCAGGATGGCCATTCATTAGTCCTCTGACTCTGAAACCCCAGGTCAGAATTTGGAAGGAATTCACGTAGGGTGAAGACAGAACTATACCCCGGAGGTTCTGTTTGGATTCCAGCTGTGCAGGGTTCAGCTTGCTACTGTTCTCCCAGAGGAACCATTCTGCTTCCCCTAGGAATTCCTTTGAGGGGCTTCCTTTGTCCTGGCACACTCAGTGCTCAGGAATAGAGGGCACTGTGTTCTATGTCTGGTTTCAGTATATTCAGTATATTTTTCAAAAGACTTTGGAGGGAACCACTCGGGACAGTATGTCTCCACTAGGCCTTTATTCATCACATTTCCTCCAGCCTTTATCTTCAGAGCTCTTCCGGGCTTGTGTGTATTTGGAATCGCACAGTTAGTAAGTGGCAGACTAGAAGTAGAACCTAGGTGCATTTGACTCTAAAGTCTTAGAACTAGGATGGATGCCAGACAGCAGTGTGGATCGAAAAATAGACTCTGGAAAGAAGGCAGGGAACAGGAGGAAAAGAGAAGCTAAGGGATAAATGTCACCCCACTTGATGATTTCACTGCTAAACCTGCAAACAAGGAAAAGTCCTTAGATAATCAAGAGGCAGGAAGGACAGGGAAGTTCCCTCACCCTTCCCCAGAGTTCATAACTCTGAGCAAACATGACTGTTTACCCAAGGGAAGTTTTTGCTTATAGAAACTCAAGACTTCTCCAGAATTTGAAAAGAAAGAACTGAACTTTTACCTGGAATGAGAGTAACATGCTTCTATCGACTGGGGGAAATTGAGGAAGGATGTAGCTCAAGGACATCAAGATAGTGGCCCATTAATCACCTAATATCTGGCTCCTGCTTCTATGTGGCATAATCAGCTCTGGTTGCAGGGTAGATGCAGTCTAAGCACAGAAGTCTCACTCTGCCCCTGTCAACCTGCCCTCTGATGCGGGAAACAAAGGCAAAAGGAAATGGCAGATAAAATTAAATTTCCTTATGACCTGCAGCCCTTTGATAAATACTTGAGGCAGGCAGAGTATAACATGTCTCCAGGAACTCCCTACTGTCTTCATGTTAATACTTTGCTAGGGGGGAAAACAACCTTTGCTTGACAACAGCTAGGCCTCCAGTATCCATGAGTCTTCTTTACCATGTGAAAATACCTTTGGAAACTTCCCCTGGACTTTATCTCTCCCAACTCCCAGGTGTATAATCAGTCTCTCCTCATAATCCCCAGGCAGCTCTTCCTTCCCACAGGTCCTGTCCCCCTGCTTTAACAAAACCACCTTTTTGCACCCAAGTTGTCTCAAGAATTCTTTGTTGACCATTGGCTCCGGACCCTACCATCACTCCAAACCACATCACCTACCAAGCTCCTGGCAGAAATTGGTATTGTCCTCTAATACCATTGGAACCACGTTGCCCAGGGCCTGTCACCTCTGCGCATGTCCACCAACCTGTAGAAGTTATTTATTAGCCAGTGCAAGAAATGCCTGAGAAGTGAGCTTATCTTTAATTTCAGGTGATGTAATAATTTGTGTTGAAAGTAAATGCTTGGGTGGTACAGTGGTTCTAATCCATCTTAACTATTTAAGTCAGGGGTCAGCAAACTTCTGTCATAGGCCTGATTTTTGTATGGCCTGTGGGCTAAGGATGGCTTTTACATCTTTAAATGGCTGGGGGGAAAATTTCAAGAAAAGAGTAGTATTTTGTGACTCATGAAAATTATATGGAATTCAAATTTCAGTGTCCATAAATGAAGGTTTCTGAAACATAGTCATGCCTATTCATTTGTAAATTATCTTAGACTGCTTCCACACAGAACTGAGTAGTTGCACAAGAGACCATATGATCCACAAAGCTGAAAATGTTTACTATCTGACCTTTTAAGAAAGATTTTGCCACACCCTGATTTAAACAGCGTTTCCCTGTTTCTTGAGTGCTATTGGGCAAGCTGTGCTGGTCAGACCCACCCTAGCAGAAGACACAGGCCAGGGTTTATCAAATGAGGCGTCTGATTGAGTTGTGATGGGAACCCATGACCTGTTATCAATGTTTCGAAAGGCATGATGAAAAAGACACATTTGCCCCAAAGCTTTGCAAGTAAACAAAATGTCAAACGTCTTCCTTTTTAAAAATTTTTTAATGTTTTTATTTATTTTTGAGACCGAGAGAGACAGAGCATGAGCAGGGGAGGGACAGAGAGAGGGAGACACAGAATCTGAAGCAGGCTCCAGGCTCTGAGCAGTCAGCACAGAGCCCGATGCGGGGCTAGAACTCACGGACTGTGAGATCATGACCTGAGCTGAAGTCGGACACTTAACGGACTGAGCCACCTAGGCGCCCCACTTCTTTCTTTTTTTAAGAAATTCTGGAATTCTAAGAACTGAGATAAGGGGGAGAGGAAATTTGCTCTGGTTGAGTTCTCACCATGTGCCAACTCTGTGGGTAGAAATAATTTCCCCCATTTTTACAGAGGAGGAAATAAAGATTCACAGAAGTCGCATAACTTGCCCAGGGTCACACAGCTTATTGTAGCAGAACTTGCATCTGTGCAGTTTTTCAGACTCTGGAGCCCTATTCTTCCTTTATGTCATGTTTCTTCGTCTCTTCCTGCAGCTTGGAGCTTGGGCTGGAGGCTAATGTGGTATCAAGTTAGACAGGAAAATATTTACTGAACATTTGGTAGAAAAATCTTTCAAAATCTGGAGTCCATGGAAAGGAGGGAAATAAAAGAGGATTTAGTGCTAAAAGTATTGAGTATCATCTTGAGACCCTTTTTTTACACGTGGCATTAGACACAGTTCTATTGATAGAGGGGAGATGGTGCCTACAAAGCATGGTGATCTAAACTAAGGAATCAGGAAAGTAGGGAAAAGAATACCGATGATTTGATCAATGGTGGTGCCTATAATTTGACTCTGGCCTCTCTAGAAAGTATACCATATTCTATGATTCTGTAGCTTAGACTAGCAGCCACATTTACATCTGAACTGCATTGTATTTTTGAACAGTCTCCAAGCATCCATAAATTAATAGGCTTGGTATGTGCACAAAGCTATGTCTGGGGCTCTAGAACCCTGCCAGGAATTGTGTTCATTTGTGGCACTTGGTAGTTACAAAGTTATGCACAAACTTGTCAGGGTAAGAGAGCACGTCAGTGTTCTGTGTTCTTTTATGTGATGACCGGTCAGGTATGGCCACAAGAAGGGAACAGAAGGGACCTGGGAGAACAAAGTTTATTATATTCACAGGTCCTAGAGACAAGATGTATGCCACGCCACACAAAGCCACATGGGAAAGCATCTGTGTGGGCCAGGAGCAAGGAGAGTGCTGAGACCATACCCTGAAAGGCATGGCAGGGCTGGGTTGAATAATTCCAGTGGGCTTTGGGTTGTAGAGGTGATCTCTAGTAGTCTATTAACTAGCCCTGGGATGAATAAAGCAGAGGAATATTCCCTCCTCAGGTGCAAGGGTCAGGTAGAGGAAGTATGGCTCTGGATGCTTGGTTTGCATATCAAAGCCATGCTCCCTGCCAAGTCCTTTGCTATTTCTAGGAACTATCTAGCCCAAGGAGGAGCAGTATCATCCTTAGCCAGAAAGGTCTTTGAAGATGTCAAAATATCCATAATAAACAGAAAATAAATTTTAAGATATAAGCACTGTAGTCAAAGATTGAACTAGTAAGACATGAGCAAAGCGGGACCCAGAGACTGAGAGAAAGAGAAATCCTTCTATAGATTGGTGGGAGAGGAGAGCAGGAATGATAGGAAAGGAGCCAACCAGGAAGAGGTTGTACAAGTTCCTAGACTTCTGTGCTCTTGGTTTGGGCTGAAAAGAAATGTTTCTATTAGAGTATTCTGCTATTTGGTACCACTGTTTTAAGTAGATCTATATGATCTATATGTGCCAGAAGACAGATATGGGTGTGGAAAGTACCATGGTCATTTAGAGGAAGGTCAGAAGCAGCTGTAAATGAGCTCTGCCTCACTGGGGCTCCTACTAGGCTGAAAAGTCAAACACATTTTTGTATTTGGGACAGTTCCTGCACTTTGCCTTGTGCATAATTGGTGCTTGATACATCACTGTCACATGGGTAGCGAGTGAGTAATGTGTCCCTGGCAGGGCCCATTGAGAATCATTAGAAAACATGTGAAAGACATGAGCAACAGGAGAAAATGTTCTCATTGAGCAACTCCAGGCTCCATCCTTGAGCTATCAGGATAAGTCAATGATTGTATCTAGTCTCTCAGTACAAAACATTTATTCAACTATCTTTTGCTAATTCTTATTAAAATGTGAAAAGGTGGTATGATTTTTGCGGTTTGATGTAAAAGTATGGAGCTCCCTTCATCTGTCTTTGAACTTAACTTCATAAGCCCCTTCTGCTGATGGCAAAAAAAGATGAAACTTCCTAATTCCACCTCATCCAGCCACAGGTAGAGCTTAAAAGTGGTCGGTTGGAGATTTAAAATAAGTCAATTTAAGAATAATTAATCCCCATTTCCCTTTGTTTTAATGGCCTCCTATTCACCCTGTTGGTAAGTGAGGGATTACTTACCAACTTAGTTCCAGGGACACTAAACGCTGGGCAGAGGAGATCAACAGCAGTTTACCCGTCGTCTACATCCCAGGGGAAGAGGACACTGCATGCCATGCAGGGCCACAGACGAACTGCACCCGGGGAACAAAGTGAACAACCAGGGACTATGGGAGACAGGCTTTGTGGTATCAGGAGTGTATGATGTCCCCTCATTTGTGCAGGAGGATGTGATTGGTTCATTTGAATACTTTCATGGTCTGGCAACAGACAGAAACCACTAAGGGGGTAAGCAGGGATTGCCCTAGGTCCCTTCAATAAGAAAGATTATTTGACTAAGGGACCTTATCTGTGAGAGCAGAGTGGAGAGGAAACCTTTTGGTTAGGCCATTCCAGGCCCTCCTGATTTTACCATAATATTGGACCTAAATTTTAGGTCTTACACTGTACTTTTCTCTTCCTTCATTCCTCTCAGAGATGATGTAAGCTCCTGGGTGTGCTTATAAGTCATCCTAGCAGTTGAGGAGGAATGGCTACATCACCTACCCATTCTGGATTATCTTGTTCAACCTCAGATCTCTTCTGATTGGCCTGATGCTCAGCATTCCATGTAGATACCCTTCTGTGGGGGCTCTGGCACTCCTCAGGGCTTTCCCCAACACTTTGATTGTCTGCTAGTCTCTGGGAGGCTACCTCATTTCCCTCAGGGCTAGTATCTTCCTCAGTCATTGCTAATCTCCTTTTTGATGTCTGCTTTGTGCAAGACTTGAGCCAAGCCCATGGAAGATCCAGACAAACGGTCCCTTCTGTTTTAGGATATCCTCTCCTCAGTTTACCCTATGTCAGCATCTTTTTTTTTTTTTTTTTTTTTGGTATCCACTAGACCTAAGTTCTAGAAACAGTCTTTCTTTGCTTACTAAATTCTTATTTTCGTTTGGACAAAAAAAATGTCATTGTAATTTATCATGCATACATCCTTCTCTACAACTTAATGGTATAAATTTCATGCACTAGTCTTCAGGATTTTTGGTTCTTGATATGCAAAACCAAGTTTTATTCAAAACAAAACAAAAATCTTCCTCTCTCAAACCCCAAAGTTTTATTATTTAATTTAAAATTTGGTTTGCAGGGGCACCTGGGTGGCTCAGTCAGTTAAGTGACCAACTTGGGCTCAGGTCATGATCTCGTGATTTGTGAGTTCAAGCTCCACATTGGGGTCTGTGCTGACAGTTCAGAGCCTGGAGCCTGCTTCAGATTCTGTGTCTCCCTCTCTCTCTCTCTCTGCCCCTCCCCCACTCACACTCTGTCTCTTAAGGGGCGCCTGGGTGGCGCAGTCGGTTAAGCGTCCGACTTCACCAGGTCACGATTGCGCGGTCCATGAGTTCGAGCCCCGCGTCGGGCTCTGGGCTGATGGCTCAGAGCCTGGAGCCTGTTTCCGATTCTGTGTCTCCCTCTCTCTCTGCCCCTCCCCCGTTCATGCTCTGTCTCTCTCTGTCCCAAAAATAAATAAACGTTGAAAAAAAAAATTAAAAAAAAAATTTTTTTTTTAAATTTGGTTTTGCATATCAAGAATTGTCTCTGCTATTGTCTTAAAATAATTCAACAATCCATATCTTTGTTCTAGAGCTACAGCTGAGTTATCCAATGCAGTAGTCACATGTGGCTATCTAATTTAAAGTCTCAAATTGATATTGACTTAGATGAAGTAAAATTTAAAATTCAATTCTTCAAATCACAGTAGCGACATTTCAAGTGCTCAACAGTCACATGTGGCTAGTGGTTACCATCCTGGACAATCAAACCCAGAACATTTCCATATTGTGGGGCGCTTGCTTGGGTAACTCAGTTGATTAAGCATACAACTCTTGGTTTTGGCTCAGGTCATGATCTCACAGTTTGTGGATTGAGCCCCGAGTTGGGCTCCACACTAACAGCACGAAGTCTGCTTGGGATCCTCTCTCTCCCTCTCTTTGCCCCTCCCCTGCTCACACATGTGCTTGCCCTCTCTCTCTCTCTCTCTCTCTCTCAAAATAAATAAATCAACTTAAAAAAAAAAAAAGAACATTTCCACATTGTATAAAGTTCTATTGGACAATGTTAGTGTATAATATATCTACCTTTCCCTTTAAGGGTTGTGAATCATGAGAGTGAAGGGCAGTGTGTAAAGAAAGGAGGATGAGGGATGAGGTCATTGAGGAGGAAACCTGTGTTTATCTCAAAATGTTATCTTGCTGTAGTAACTTTGAAGAAAGTTTTGAGCTTCAGAAGCTTAAGTGACTGCTTTTAATAAGATTCCCTCCATGTTTTGGTAGAAGAACATTTTTGGCAACTGGAAATGCTTCTGCCTACCAGTCTGTTACAGACGGCATGTACCATGGATTACCACCACTGAGCAACTCTCTCGTGAAGAGCATTTTTGCTTCACAGCTCAGCGTGCCTCAGCCACTAGATCCACAGAGCCTCCAGGTATGTTGAGAAGTATTTTTATAACTAGAAACGATGTTGTACATAGGGAGTTGGCACTTTGTTTCCATTTGGTTTAAATTTTGCAGGGGTTCTCCATGTTTTAGTGCTCCTTAGTCTTGCTTGGCTCCCCTTCATTGACATGGTAGAACAGCCTGGGCCCCCATAGCCAGCTGTTATTCCCAGTCAGAGTCTTTGCCTCCAAACTGCTTAACAAGCAGACAGGGGCAATACCTTATCTGCTCCCAGCTGGTAGCAAAACCAACAGTTGATCTTTTCCATTTAATAAATAATAATAGGAGCAATCACAATACAAAAATTAGGTCAGCAGCTCAGTTTTTAATAGCCCTGGTTACAGCAGGTATTATCATATGTAATCCTGGCAATTATTATTTTCCCTAGGTACCAACAATATTACCCGCCCTCTACAACTAAAGACTGTAAGGTTCTGGCAGGTCAGAGATCAGACTGCTGGGCAGTCCTGACAACACTAGATCACAAACTGTATTACTTACCTATGGCTGCATAAAAAATGACCCCAAAATTTAGCAGATTAAAACAATACATATTCATCATCTCATACAGTTTCTGAGGCTCAGGAATCTGGGAGCAGTTTACTATGTAATTCTGGCTCAAGATCTCTCGCCGGTCTACTATCAGGGTATTGGCCCAGGCTGTACTCATCTCAAGGGTCTACTGGAGGAGAATCTGTTTCCAAGCCCACTCATGGGCTTCCGGGAGCATCAGAAGATCCACTTTCAAGCTTATTCATGTGGGCTTTTCCACAGGGCTTCTTCACAGCATGGCAGATGGATTCCTCCAGAGCAAACAATTCAAAAGAGAACAAGAAACAGAACCCAAGGTGGAAGTCACAGTCTTTTTATTACCTAATTTCATAAGTGACATCCCATAATTTTTGCCATATTTTATTCATTAGAAGTGAGTCACTAATTTTAGCCCACACTCAAGGGGAGAAGAATTAAACTCCATGTTTTAAGGGAAAAGTATCGAAGAAGTTGTAGACCACCTATATTTAAAGACATCTCATGGGGCGCCTCGGTGGCTTAGTGGGTTAAGTGTCCAACTTTGGCTCAGGTCATGACCTCACAGTCTGTGAGTTCAAGCTCCAAGTCGGGCTCTGTGCTGACAGCTCAGAGTCTGAAGCCTGCTTTGGATTCTGTGTCTCCCTCTCTCTCTGTCCCTCCCCTACTCACACTCTGTCCCTGTCTCTGTCTCTCTCTCTGAAAAATAAACATTAAAAAATATATGTATTAAAATAAAATAAAATAAAATAAAATAAATAAAATAAAATAAAACCACCTTACAAACCCAGGTCTTCTGACTCCAAAACCTCCAACATAATTTTTTTATGTTACAAAGCTAAGCCAAGTAATGCCAACACCAACCCCATGTAAGTCCTACCCATTTACCTTCCCTAGCAACAAGACAATGACTCTTGGCCCAAACCTTGACCCTCATTTAGTCCCGGAATACAAGATTAACCATGACCATTAGTCCTGTTCCTACTGCCTTTGGATGTTGCCTGGGATTAGGTAGATGGAAGTGTCCTGGCTTCTGGCTACCTGAATCAATTCCAACTCTAGGAATTGTCCGAAGCCAGTACCAAGTCTGCAAATGTAGAATGGAGTCAGATGGATAGGTCCACTATGTCCAGGCCTGCATGTGATGCCACAACTAGTAGGGGATGCCTTGACTGTTGGACAGTGATATGGAGAAGACAGAGGCCCACATATTAACATTGTGGCATTGGCTTTGAATTGTTACCTAGAATTGGAACACAATGGTGATGAAGGAAAACATTTTAAGGTTCCTAATGTCTAGAACATTTGAATAAGTTTACTTTTGTTGATTGTAACTGTGTCCCATTATTATTATGGTATTCTGGAACTTCCAAACACTGGTGCTGACTGGTTACACTGAAGTCTTAATTAAGTACCCTTCTGTTTATCCAGATTTGGGGAATAAAAAAAAAAAAAAGAATATTACTGTCTCCTCTACATCATCAGAGACTTTCTATCCAGAACTACTTCTTTTTTTTAATGTTCATTTATTTATTTTGAGAGAGAGAGAGAACACACCAGCAGGAGAGGGGCAGAGAGAGAGACGGAGAGAGAGAATCCCAAGTAGGCTCCGCTCAGTCAGCACAGAGCCCGATGTGGGGCTTGATCTCATGAACCATGAGATCATGACCTGAACCAGAATCAAGAGTCAGACACTTGACCAATGGAGCCACTTAGGTGCCCCAGTAACTATTTCTATATAATAAATAAATCATCCCACATTGTTTTGGAGTACAGACACAGAAATCCTGTTCATATAAGATATTTATTATTTGTGGACAACAGTACAACATTATCATGTTTCTCATTTGGTTCTTTTAGGCATCTGTGCTATTCCCTTGGAGAGCATTTCTAGAAGATGGAGGACTGTTTCCAGTTATGGGTAGCAGCCCAGATACCCTAGAGTATAATATGCAGGTAGGATAGTTCTTCCCACTCATGGCATAAAGAACTGAATGCAGACTGCAAAGCAGGTTTCATTGGGTCCATAGGTCAATGGTGAATAATTTATGAGATAAGCAGGATGTTTGATTATGAAGCTGTAAATCCAATGCTACCAGGTGAGTCATGTTTTCTTATGACAGAAGAGAATCATGGTCTCAGCTGGTATGGGCCTTGGTTGTAGACTCAGCTGCAATTCTCATGGCCAGTAATGACCTGGGAGAGTGACCAGCCATCTCCAGTCACTCTCTGCACCTCTTAGAGAGACACCCAGGCTGGAAGCTCAGGGGTATGTAACTCCCGGTCTGCCTGTGAATGGTGGTAGGAAGAGAACTCTTTTTTTTTTTTTTTTTTTTTATGAAATTTATTGTCAAATTGGTTTCCATACAACACCCAGTGCTCATCCCAAAAGGTGCCCTCCTCAATACCCATCACCCACCCTCTCCTCCCTCCCACCCCCCATCAACCCTCAGTTTGCTCTCAGTTCTCAACAGTCTCTTATGCTTTGGCTCTCTCCCACTCTAACCTCTTTTTTTTTTTTTTTTCCCTTCCCCTCCCCCATGGGTTCCTGTTAAGTTTCTCAGGATCCACATAAGAGTGAAACCATATGGTATCTGTCTTTCTCTGTATGGCTTATTTCACCTAGTATCACACTCTCCAGTTCCATCCACGTTGCTACAAAAGGCCATATTTCATTTTTTCTCATTGCCACGTAGTATTCCATAGTGTATATAAACCACAATTTCTTTATCCATTCATCAGTTGATGGACATTTAGGCTCTTTCCATAATTTGGCTATTGTGGAGAGTGCTGCTATGAACATTGGGGTACAAGTGCCCCTATGCATCAGTACTCCTGTGTCCCTTGGATAAATTCCTAGCAGTGCTATTGCTGGGTCATAGGGTAGGTCTATTTTTAATTTTCTGAGGAACCTCCACACTGCTTTCCAGAGCGGCTGCACCAATTTGCATTCCCACCAACAGTGCAAGAGGGTTCCCGTTTCTCCACATCCTCTCCAGCATCTAGAGTCTCCTGATTTGTTCATTTTAGCCACTCTGACTGGCGTGAGGTGATACCTGAGTGTGGTTTTGATTTGTATTTCCCTGATAAGGAGCGACGCTGAACATCTTTTCATGTGCCTGTTGGCCATCCGGATGTCTTCTTTAGAGAAGTGTCTATTCATGTTTTCTGCCCATTTCTTCACTGGGTTATTTGCTTTTCGGGTGTGGAGTTTGGTGAGCTCTTTATAGATTTTGGATACTAGCCCTTTGTCCGATATGTCATTTGCAAATATCTTTTCCCATTCCATTGGTTGCCTTTTAGTTTTGTTGGTTGTTTCCTTTGCTGTGCAGAAGCTTTTTATCTTCATAAGGTCCCAGTAATTCACTTTTGCTTTTAATTCCCTTGCCTTTGGGGATGTGTCGAGTAAGAGATTGCTACGGCTGAGGTCAGAGAGGTCTTTTCCTGCTTTCTCCTCTAGGGTTTTGATGGTTTCCTGTCTCACATTCAGGTCCTTGATCCATTTTGAGTTTATTTTTGTGAATGGTGTGAGAAAGTGGTCTAGTTTCAACCTTCTGCATGTTGCTGTCCAGTTCTCCCAGCACCATTTGTTAAAGAGACTGTCTTTTTTCCATTGGATGTTCTTTCCTGCTTTGTCAAAGATTAGTTGGCCATACGTTTGTGGGTCTAGTTCTGGGGTTTCTATTCTATTCCATTGGTCTATGTGTCTGTTTTTGTGCCAGGAAGAGAACTCTTTAAGCAGGATTCATAAGGAGAATTTCTTTCAATTATGTGTTTCCTCCCTGATTACCTAAGCAAATATTGTGTTTTCATTTTTAAAAATAGAAAATATGGAAAAGTATTAAACATGAAAATCAATCATAAATTTGCTCCGAAATAATACAGAAGTGGAGAGTGATGAAGATAGGGGCAGGATTGGCCACAGGCTGATGGTTCTTAGGGCTGGGTGGTGGGAACTCTACTGTTTACTTCTGTATAGGCTCAAAATTAAAAAGGTTTGGGTGTTTTAAAGTAACATAGTAAAAATGGTTAAAAAAAATAAATCATATTTCCCCCAGTAGGAGACAATCACCGTTCACATTTTGGTTTATTTTTTCTAGTACTTTCCCTATGCATACATGTGTCTCTATCTGTACTTTCAAAAGAAAATTGATATCACACTATGCATTCGCCATATACAAATACCACTCACTGTAAAGTGCTGGGAAATGGACTTCCATACAAGGCCAAAAGTCTGATATGTTCAAGGAGGACTTTCAGCTAGAAATGTTACTCTGATTTTTACAGATTTTTCTAATAGTGGAGAGGGCGGGGTTTGTAAACACAATTATTCCTAGTTTTCTCCCCCAAAATCATATATAAGGGATACATAGAAATCTTCAAGATGGGTGTTTTGTTTCATTTTGTTCTTTGTTTTGTTTTGTTTTTAGCTGTGCCTCTGTAGGCTGAGTGACCATGATCTGAAGGTGGCTCATGGAGAGCTGGTGGGCATGCAGCTGCTTTTGGAAGATGTGCTTCTGAGCAACTATCATATGATCATGGAGGATCATGGAGGATCCCCCCAGCAAGACACACTGGACAAAAACACACAGGTACTCTTGGTGAGCAGTCTTCCTAATTGGCCAGTGCTGTAGTGTACTGAAGGACCTTCCTCCCCCTTTGTCTGACAGCCTCTTCCAGTGGGTCCCAAGACTGGGCTAATGCCACATGGGAGCAGCGGATTCATTTCTTTTCGTTTTAAAAACAGAACAAAGGTTGTAAGAGGTCCATTGAAATCAAACGGGACAAATAATCCAACTGGCTGGGTTTCCTTGTGAGTCATACACATTTAGGACTGGAGTTGGGAGGACTGGAGGGGTAGGACAGAGGCCCTGGGTGAACATCTCCACCCCGGGCTCTCATCTTCATTACTCAGCTAGCCTTATGGACTCCTAGGTGAGCACTCCCTCCTCTGGACTTATCCCTGAAGCTCTAAGGCAGCAAGAGCCCCTGGCCCACTTGGTGTCATAACTGGAACCAATTCTGCACGTAAGTGGGAACCAGACAGAGACAGCACGTAAGTGGGAACCAGTCTGGACACAGGGTGAGCTAGCTGGTGCTCCCATTTAAAGAGCCTCCTTTTGAGAGCCCAACTTTCTGAGAGATGTCTGCAGCAGCCATCTCCATTTCCTCACCTTCAACCCGCTCCTCAGAAACTGTGCTTTGTCACCACTGAGACCACCCTCACCAAAAGCACCATGGTCCTTGTCACTAAATCCCCTGGATACTTTTCAGTGCCCCTCCAACCTGACCCTTGTCAGCATTTGACACGGTGTATCCTTCTTGCAGCCTCCCTGCTGCTGGCTTCCAAAGCACAGCTCCCTTCCTCCTTTTCCTCTGGCATCGGTAGCCATGCCTTCTCAGACTTCCCCGTAGACTCTCCTCTGCCTCCTGCCTCCCTTCTTCCTCTGCCAATCCTCAAAGTACTGTTTTTTCGGGTTCTGTCCTGCTACTACCACCAGCAGGGCTGCATTTTGACTTCCACAACGCTAGCCACTTCTGTCTTTGTAGGCCCTTTCCTCCATAAGAAAGCATTAAAAGTTATAGTTTACAACTGTGTTAATATACAAAAATTAATATCATATATTAAAACACTTTATTCAGCCTCAGTATCCTTTTCCTCTGATTTTAAAAGAAATTAAGGGGTGTCTGGTTAGCTCAGTTGGTTGAACATCCAACTCTTGATTTCAGCTTAGGTCATGATCCCAGGTTCGTGGGATTGAGCCCCACATCAAGCTGCATGCCCAGCGTGAAGCCTGCTTAGGATTCTCCCTCTCTCTCTCTCTCTCTCTCTCTCCCCCTCTGCCCTTCTCCCTCACTCTCTCTATATAAAATTTAAAAATATAAGAAAGAAATTAAAACATTCTGTGGGCCCTGGGCACTGTGCCTTCTGTGTCTAATCAAGAAGTTTCCCCTGAATACTATTAATACTACTGTTGGCTATGACTGAGATCTTTTCAGAATGCTTTAGTAATTATTAGCTTCTTTAATCTTCCCAGTAATTCCATGAAATAGATGCTTTAATTATTCTCATTTAATATTGAAGCTCAGAAAGGTTAAATGATGTGCCCGAAGTCACATGCCTATTGAGGCAGGAAACCCACATTCCAACTTGACAGTCTGCCCTGGAGCTTCCTTCTACTCTTATCTGCTACGTTGTTCCACTCCGCAGCCGCTCCCTAGGCACGCTCATCTGCTGATGACTTTCCTGGCTATAACTCATGCGATGACCATCTACCTGTCTTGTCTGAATCTCAATCCTGTCAGATTCATGCGTTCAACTTCCTTGTTCCATCCCAGAGACACTGTGTCCCCAGGTGAGCTTGTTTCACAGCCCAAAACTTGCTCCTCTTTCCATATTCCCTCTCAGTTAACCACCACCTGTCCAACTGCCCAAGCCAAAAAATCTGGATGCTCATCTTTGACTTCTCTCTATCATACCCCATAATCAGACACTGAGTTTTACTATCCTGTTATTTTAATATCTCTCAAGTTTGTCTCCTATTCCCCATCTTCCATCACCACCCCCGAATCAGCATCATCTGCTACTATTAGGTTATGTGCATAACCTCCAATTAGATCCTTATATTCACTCTTGCCTTCTTCCAACCATTCACCAGGATTATTTTATTTTATTTTATTTTATTTTATTTTATTTTATTTTATTTTTATTTTATTTGTTAAGTTTATTTTTATTCTGAGAGAAAGAGAGAGCAAGTGGGGAAGGGCAGAGAGAAAAGGAGAGATAATGCCAAGCAGGCTCTGCACTGACAGTGTGGAGCCTGATGTGGGGCTTGAACTCACAAACCATGGGATCATGACTTGAGCCGAAATCAAGAGTCTGACGCTTAACCGACTGAGCCACCCAGGCACCCCTTACCAGAGTAATATTTTAAAATGCAAACCTGATTATGTCCCTTCCCTCTTACAGCCCTTCAGTGTCCTCCATATGTCCTGAGAATAGGATCCAAATGCCTTAACCAGCCCTTTACTACCTAGCTCCTGCTGATATTTCTACCCTCAACTTCTTTCATTTTATCAAATGTACTGTGCTTTCTTTCCTCAGTAACTTTGTGCAAGCTAACCCCTCTGGTGGAAAATTTCCTTCTCCTACCTCTCTATGTCATCATCTGATTAATTCCCACTTATCCTTTGGGTTTCAACTTCCACGTCACTCTTTCCGAAGTTTTTTCTGATTTTTCCACCTTTGAGGTGATTGATGCCCTTTTGTGCCAATTAGGGTGCACCTGCTATAAGTAACAGGTTGTCCTACTAGCCATGAATTAAATTAGCAAAAGGTATTAATCTTGCAAAGCAAGTCCTTAGACTTGCCTCTTAAGGAGGCAGTTTGGGTTGGTGCAGTCACTCAGGTTGGTTTATGCTCCTGCTCTGCCATTATGGGTATGTCAGCAAAATGTCTCCTTCATCCATGTAAAATGAAAACAGGAGCAAAAAAAGCTTTCTCCTTAAAGGGCTTTATCTTTTTACCAAGAAAGAAAATCCTCTCCAGAACCTTCTAATAGCCTTGTAATAGATTTTCCTTGTGTCTTACTGGCTACAATTGAGTCACCAGCCTACTTCAGGAAAATTCGTGGAAAAGGAAGAGTGTTTAGATGTGCCATCTAAATTCCACAACAGAATTAGATGTTTCACTCAGATGGAGCATTTGCAAAGCAAGCATTGGCACCAAGTAGTACCAAGATCAAGAAGCATGTTGGGCCTTTGGGCCCTCTGTTGACTATTCCTTAGTCCTGTTTTTGATGGATTGCCATCCTTCCCTGACACCCCCACTTGATTCCAGCTCAGGTCCCCCACCTTTGTTCTTTACCTTGTCTCCTGTTCCTTCTTCCATCCTTTAAAACACTTAGGAAGAGAAGACTTCTCTTAATATGAATATATTAACAAGGGAAGTTTGCTTTAAAGTTATGGTTTATTTTAACTAGTTTAATGATATGATTTATTTTATTTAAGAGTATTTAATATTCATACATAACAGGAGAAAATGGAATATATACTGCTCGTGAGATAGGACCCTGGGTTTCCTGGCCCCACTGTGCAACCCGTGCTGTGATCTCTTAGACCTCAGTCTCTAAAATGGAAGTCATGAGCCTTTAAAACTGTGGTCCCAGGAGCCCTGGGTTCCTCAGAGGCAAGTTGGAGGTTTTTTGTGTATTTTTTATTTGTAATTCCTTTTTAAATTGAGATGTAACTGACATACAATACTATATTAGTGTCTGGTGTATGCATTGCAATGATCATCACAATAAGTCTAGTTACCATCTGTCACTATACAAAGTTAATACAATATTATTGACTGTATTCCCCATACTAGACATTATATCCCCATGATTTTTTTTTTAATTTTATGACTGGAAGTTTGCACTTCTTGATCCCCTTTACTCATTTAGTCCCCCAAACCTCCTCTCCTCTGGCAACCACCAATCTGTTCTCTGTCTCTATGAGTCTTGGTTTTGTTTTGTTTCTTAGATTCCACATATAAATCAAAGCATGCAGCATTTGTCTCTGACTTATTTCACTTAGCATTATACCCTCAAGATCCATCCATATTGTCACAAATGGCAAGATTTGATTTTATGGCTGAATAATATTTCTATGTGTGTGTGTAATCACATCTTCTTTATCTGGTCATCCATCAATGAACACTTAGGTTGTTTCTCTGTACCTTGCCTATTGTAAATAATGGTACAGTGAACATGAGATGAATATATCTTTTCAAATTAGTGTTTTCATTTTCTTCAGGTAGATACCCAGTAGTAGAATTGCTGGATCATATGGTAATTCTATCTTTTTTTTAACGTTTATTTATTTTTGAGACAGAGAGAGACAGAGCATGAACGGGGGAGGGGCAGAGAGAGAGGGAGACACAGAATCGGAAACAGGCTCCAGGCTCTGAGCCATCAGCCCAGAGCCCAATGCGGGGCTCGAACTCACGGACCGTGAGATCGTGACCTGAGCCGAAGTCGGAGGCCCAACCGACTGAGCCACCCAGGCGCCCCGGTAATTCTATCTTTAAGAGGAACCTCCATACTCTTTTCCATAGTGGCTGCACCAGTTTACATTTCCACCAACTATGCACAAGGGTTCTCTTTTTACCATATCCTTGCCAATACTTGTTATTTTTTTGTCTTTTTGATAATAGTTATTCTGACAGGTGTACAGTGATATTTCATTCTGGTTTTTATTTGCATTTCTCTGGTGCTTAGTGATGTTAGGCATTTTTTCATATGCCTATTGGCCATCTGTATGTTTTCTTTGGAAAAACACCTATTAGATCCTCTGACCAATTTTTAACATGATTTTTCTGTGTTTGTTTTTTTTTTATTATTATTAAGCTGCATTACTTCTTCATGTATTTTGGCTATTAACTCCTATTACGTATGTGATTTGTAAATTTTTTTTCCCATTCAGTAGATTACATTTTTGTTTTATTATGGCTTCCTTCACTGTGCAGTAGCTTTTTAGTTTGATGTAGTCCACTTGTTTACATTTTTTCCCCACCTGTTTACTTTTACTTTTACTTTTATTTACCTTG